CAAACTATTGCTCTTGGCTTTAATCACTGTAGGCTGTACTCCAGATTCTCCAGTTTGCAGTGTGTGTTTTTCCTCTATCATGCTCTTACCCTAATGTACTCTTCTTGCTTCCTAGTGGATAAAGCAACATTTATGGTTGGCAGCTATGGGCCTCGGCCGGAGGAGTATGAGTTCCTCACTCCAGTTGAGGAGGCTCCCAAGGGCATGTTGGCCCGAGGCACGTACCACAACAAGTCCTTCTTCACCGACGATGACAAGCATGACCACCTCAGCTGGGAGTGGAACCTGTCGATTAAGAAAGACTGGACAGATTGAATGCATCTGCCCATCCCTTTCCCCACCGTTGCCACCTGGAAGAATTCTCTCAGGCGTGTTCATCACCCTGTCCCTCCTCCCTGTCCACAGCTAGATCCCTCTCCAATGGTGCCCACATTCCCATATTGATGCATCTTTTCCCACCCTGTCTCTTAAAGTGGTCCCTAGCACAGAGTCTTAAAACCAGGCTTTCACCCTGCCTGCTCTCTGATCCTCCATCAGGGCCAGATCTTCCACCTCGACATCTCAATACACCATCATTTAATATTTCCGTCTCTTATTTTCATTCGAGCAACTAGAGGGCAGGAAATGGGCAATCACAAATAGGTCTTTGACTCAGGTTCCAGTAGTTCATGCTAATGCCTAGATTCTTTGGTGGTTGCTGGCCCAATGAGTCCCTCAGCACATCCCCTGCCAGATGGAGTTCTTCTTTTGTGGGAGACACTGTAAACAACACAAGAGAATAAGAATAAAACAATAACAGCGTGTGTTCTGACTGAGACTTCATTTCCCTGCTTTCTTCCTTTGAACAAATATGCTAACTGGATGGTTCACATTCGTGAGTTCCCTTAGAGGGGATGGGGATGAGGAAAACACACTGGAGATATTTACATCATTGGGAACAAATTGGCCCGCTATTAGACTGCAATAGGCGATGAACATTGGGAATACACAGTGGAAAATCTACATTTTACTTACTTGGTTATTTTTCATTTCAACTTTTATGTTAGATATAGGAGGTATGTGTGCAGGTTTGTTACATGGGTATATTGCACCCAGGTAGTGAGCCTAGTACTAAATAGGTAGGTTTCCAAACCATGCCTCACTCCCTCGCCCCTCAGGTAGTCCACCGTATCTGCTGTTTCCCATGTTTATGTCCATGTGCGCTCAGGATTTCTGTTTCTGCACTGTTTTGCTTACGATCATGGCCTCTAGGTTCGTCTATGTTGCTGCAAGTAATATGATTTTACTTTTTTATTATAACCATATAGTATATCATGGTATATATGCACCATATATTTTTATCCAACCCACCATTGATGGGCACCTACATTGATTCCATCTCTTTGTTGCTGTGAATGGCACAACAATGAACATACATGTATACATGTGCATGTGTCTTTTTGGTATAATGAGCTACTTTCCTTTGGATATATATATATATATATACTATATATATACTATATATATATACTATATATATACTATATACATATATAGTAATAGGATTGCTGAATCAATTGGGAGCTCTGTTTTAAGTTTTTTGAGAAATCTCCAAACTGGTCTCTCTCTGTATGTTAGTAAAAATATTATGTCTTGGAATGTTAATGGTACTCCTAGAAATTGGAGTACTTTTTGGCCTTAGTATAGAGATAAAAGGTATAGATGGCCTCATTTCGAGTTGCTTTCCACAGTAGCTGAACTAAGTTACATTCCCATGAACAGTATATAAGTATTCCCTTTTCTTTACACTGTCACCAGTGTCTGTTGGTTTTTGATTTTTTAAATGATGGCCATTCTGACTAGTGTGAGATTGTATCTCGTTGTGGCTTTGATTTGCATTTACCTGATAATTAGTGATGTTGAGCATTTTTTGTATGTTTGTTGGCCTCTTGTGTGTCTCCTTTTGAGAAGTGCCTGTTCATGTTCTTTGCTCATTTTCTAATGGGGTTATTTGTTTTTTGCTTCTTTATTTGTTTAGGTTTCTTATGGATTCTGAATGTTAGACCTTTGTTGGATGCATAGTTTGCATATGTTTTTTCCCCATTCTGTAGATTGTCTGTGTACTTTATCAATAGTTCCTTTTGCTCTGCAGAAACTCTTTAATTAGGTCCCACTTGTCAATTTTTGTGTTTTTTTTGCAATTGTTTTCGAGGACTTAACCAAAAACTGTTTGTCAAGATTGATGTCAAAAAGAGTATTTCCTAGGTTTTCTTCTAGGACTTTTATGATTTGAGGTCTTAAATTTTTAATTCATCATGAGTTAATTTTTTTATATGGTGAAAGATAAGGGTCCAGTTTCATTCTGCACATATGGCTAGCCAGCTATCACGGCACCGTTTATTGAGTAGGGAGTCCTTTCCCTCATTGATTGGTTTTGTTAACGTTGTCAAATGTCAAATGGTTGTAGGTATATGGCTTTATTTCCTGAGTTCTCTATTCTATTCCATTGGTCTATGTGTTTGTTTTTGTACCAGTATGATGCCGTTTTGGTTACTATAGCCTTATAGCATAGTTTGAAGTGGGTAATGTGACTCCTTTGGCTTTGCTCTTTTTGATTAAGATTGCTTTAACTAATCAGACTCTTTTGGTTCCCTATAAAGTTTAGAATCGTTTTCTAATTCTGTGAAGAAGAACATTGGTAGTTTTATAGGAATAACATTGAATCTGTAAATTGCTTTGTGCAGTATGGTCATTTTAAAGATATTGATTCTTCCTATCCATGAGCATGGAATGTTTTTTCATTTATGTCACCATTGATTTCTTTCAGAAGTGTTTTGTAGTTCTCCTTGTAGAAATTTTACCTCCTTAGTTATTTGTATTCCTAGGTATTTCATTTTATTTGTGGCTATGGTAAATGGAATTGAGTTCTTGATTTGACTCTCAGCCTGGGCATTATTGGTATATAGAAATGCTACTGATTTTTGTACATTTATTTTTTTTCCTGATACCTTACTAAAATTATTTATCAGTTCTAGTAGCCTTTTGGCAGAGTCTTTAGACCTTTCTAGGCATACAATCATACTGTCAACAAGGAGACATAGTTTGACTTCTTCTTTTCTTATTTGGATGCCTTTTATGTCTTTCTCTTGCCTAATTACTCTGGCTAGTTATTTCTTTTATAATATTTTCACATGAAAATTCTCCTAATCTTAAGACTACATATCACAATGCCTGTGGAAATCTCATCTTGGACTTCCTCAGACACTTGTGGGCAAAATCAAACTTTGTCTCTTTCTTCTGCTTAAGACTTTTCAGTGGTTCTCATCACCTTCAGAATAAAGTTGAAGCTTCTGCGCTTAGCGTATCACGTAAGACCTGCTGTGAGTTGTTCCCAACATGCCTTTCTGCCCTCATGTATCATTTCCTCCCTTTTCATCATTTCAATTACTAATAATTCTGTCACACATTATATTTGCATCTCTGTTCTTTGGTTCTTTACATAAAACTCCCTTTTTACCTTTTGTTTCCTGGGAAAAACTTATTTACTCGGGACTCTGCTTGGCATCCTCTGCAGGAAGAACACTTTCATTGAACCCTAGCATTGTCCCTAATACCCTTCATCTGTACTGTCATAGCACCCTGTGAATTTTTCTATATCATTTTCCATTTTATATTTAAATTGTCTTTTTACTTGCTTATCTCTCCCACTGACAATCTAAGCTGGCAGAGGCTGATCAGATAGATCATAATTATCTTTCTACTCCTAATGCTAGGGTCAATACCTGGTATAGAATATTTACATTTTTTATTTAAATAAACTGACCTGACTTTCTTCTGGTTGGTTATGTTCTAGGCCCTGTCACTAAACTTGGTCTTTTATCTCAGAAGTTGAAGGCTCCCTTGGAGCCAGCTGCAAAGTTCCCAGAGCCCTAATAACCCCACACCCAATCAGCTACAAAGTGGGCTGCCTGAGTCAGCATTCCAAACACAAAGCCCAGAGTTGGAGCAGAAGCAGGAAAGGCACAATGGAAGCTCCGCCACCCAGGTTCATGTTCCTCCTATTTCTCCTCACGTGTGAGCTGGCCCCAGAAGTTGCTGCAGAAGTTGAGAAATCCTCAGGTAAAAGAAAAATGTAGTTGGATGGCCATAGTGTGAAAATGTTCTTAGGAGAAAGTAAGGTAGTATGGTGGTTCTCTGGGTACTTTTGCTCCACATCTAGAAAGCTTTCTAAGAAATCATGGATAAGATGCATTTTTTTAATTGTACTTTAGGTTCTGGGGTACATGTGCAGATCATGCAGGATTGTTGCATAGGTACATACATGGCAATGTGGTTTTCTGCCTCCATCCCCCCATCACCCATACTATATCTGATATTTCTTCCCATGTTATCCCTCCTAAACCTCCCCACACCCAACTGTCCCTCCCCTAGCCCCCCCAACAGACCCCAGTGTGTGATGTTCCCCTCCCTGAGTCCATGTGTTCTCATTGTTCAACACCCGCCTGTGAGTGAGAACATGCGGTATTTGATTTTCTGTTCTTGTGTCAGTTTGCTGAGAATTATGGTTTCCAGATTCATCCATGTCCCTACGAAGGACACAAACTCATCATTTTTTATGGCTGCATAGTATTCCATGGTATATATGTGCCACATTTTCCTTGTCCAGTCTATCATTTTGTCTAGTGGAGAGCAGGGAAATCTGGCTGTATCCTTCAGAGACAGACCAACAGTAGGGTCACCTTCCATATGTTAGTAAAAATATTATGCCTTGGAATGCTAACAGTACTCCTAGAAATTGTTCTCTCCTCAGCCTTAGTATAGAGATAAAAGGTATAGATGCCCTCATTATTTAGAGCTGCTGCTTCTCGCTTCGGTACCCTGACATCTTCTGCTTCTCTCTCTAGATGGTCCTGGTGCTGCCCAGGAACCCACATGGCTCGCAGATGTCCCAGCTGCCATGGAATTTATTGCTGCTACTGAGGTGGCTGTCATAGGCTTCTTTCAGGTTAGTTCAGCTACCCTACTTGCAATTCCTCCAAGAGCTAGAAATGTTCTACCTCACGGGAGCCGCAGCAGCCACCTGCTGGCAGATGACACTGCATTAGAAATGGGAGGAAAGGGAGACAGCCACACAGTTTGCTTTCATCTTGTCCATTGGGACCTCTTACTTTCAAGACATTCCCAGTCTCTAAGTTATAGGTTTCTCATACTTACTTCAAGAGTTCTGAGACTGTGGGCGGGATCTGTTCACCTATGGATGCTCTGAAGCTCAAGTCAGTGTCTGCAGAAAGAATACCTTCATGGAACCCTACCATTGTACTCAGTGTATTTGGTCTGCACTCTCATAGCACCCTATGAATAGGCAGGGGCTAGAATGAACCCAATTTATGTCATCTAGCAACACTGTTTATAGGATGCTGAAGCCCCTGGACATTAGTCAGTGCACAGCCCTTTAAAGCCTTTCCACAAATAGGTAGATTCTCATTCTTCTTTCTCTTTGCCTTCTCTGAGATGTTAGAAAAGGATGGCATGTTGTATATTCAAGGTGTTAACCTCCATCTTCCAGATTGGCTGCTTGGATAATAAAGGCATCCATAAATGAGACTGCGTTATTCCAGCATTTTCATCTTTCTCTGGGGTGGTAGCATCTGGCAATCCTCACAGCTGATCAAGCCCTACTCTTTCACAGCAGACCTTCTTGTCTGTTTCCGTTCATCAATTCCAACTCCCGATTACCCTGTTAATTCTGTGTACACAGCTGGAAATCACTGCAATGAGATGCAAGTGAGAGAGGAAGATAGGGAGTACATTTTTCAGGGATGAGAAATCTGAGCTGTAGACAAAAACACCCTCAGAAAGATGGGGAAGGGGCAAGAGCATGGAACTGGAGACGTGCGCAATAACTTAAACAGCCGCCAGATGCCACTACTTGATCCTTGAGAAATTCCATTTGAAGGAGGACAATAAGAGAGGAGGCCTCAATTAACTATTGTTCATGGCCTGTAGTGAACTCCACACACCATTTCAGAAGAGCAGATACCAGCTCTCTGTACTTGACCCCAGATGCAAGACTAGTATGTTCGTCCATTCTCATGCTGCCATAAAGACATACCCAAGACTGGAGAATTTATAAAGGAAAGAGGTTTAATGGCATCACAGTTCAGCATGGCTGGGAAGGCCTCAGGAAACTTAGAATCATGGCAGAAGGAACCTCTTCACAGGATGGCGAGAGAGAGAATGCGCACAAGTAGGGGGAACGCCAGACGCTTATAAAACCTTCGGATCTCGTGAGACTCACTCACTGCCACGAGAACAGCATGCAGGAAACTGCCCCTGTGATCTCATTACTGCCACCTGGTCCCACCCTTGGCATGTGGGGATTATGGAGACTACATTTCAAGATGAGATTTTGGGTAGGAACACAGCCAAACCGTATCAACTAGCCACCTTCTTTTCTCCTTGCACATCTCCTCCTTCAGCCTGGGGAGTTGTAGGGTAGAACATGTTTGTTCCTGTTAATTTCCTGGAGCGGCTGTGGATAAAGGTCCCATGACAGCAGGGAAAATGATTGCCACCCTCCACAGAATGCTTGGAATCATTGCTCAGAAGTGGCTTCTATGCCTCTTCCTACAGGCCTGGGCTGCAGAGTTGGATGCGTGAACAGCATCTTCATATGCAAAGCTCAGGCTTATCTACAGTGGCAAGAAAGGGACGGTCCTTACATAGCCTGCATAAACCTTTGTTAAAACTTCTAAGCTTTCATTTTAATTATTTAATTTTTTTATTTTTTTATTTTTTGTGGGCCTTTTGATGGCACCTATTTCATATTTTTGCATTTTTTCCCTTTCTTCCACAAATGTAACCAAAGCCAAAACTCAAGAGACAAGATTCGGTGGGAGGAAAAGCATGTTTATTTGAAGAGCCAGTTAACCAAGAAGATAGTGGACTAGCATCCTAAGGTACATCTTGGCCAGGCACAGTGGCTGACACCTGTAATTCTAGGACTTTGGGATGCAGAGGCAGATAGATTGGCTGAGCTCAGGAGTTCAAGGCCAGCCTGGGCAACATGGCAAAACTCCATGTCTACTAAAAATACAGAATAAATTAGGCAAGTATGGTGGTGTACACCTGGAGTCCCAGCTACTCAGGAGGCTGAGGTACAAGTATCCAGGAGGTGGAGGTTGCAGTGAGCTGAAATTGCACCACTGCACTCCAGCCTGGGCAACAGAGTGAGACTCTGTTCCAAAATAAATGAGTAAATAAATAAATAAAGTACATCTTAAGTTACTACCAGTTTTAGGCTCTTTGTATGTTAAAGGCAGGGGGAAGAGGAGGAAGGTGGGATCAAGCACTAACCAGCAACCATAGGCATCTGGACACCAGCAAGGGTCCCAGGAGGCTGGGAATTTCTTTGCCCTTGGTCAGGCCACAATGCACCTATAAATCTTTAACACAACATAGTTAGTTGTTTACATACTTTTCCTTTAATCCCAGAATTCGTTTTAAAAACTATATAACTGCTATTTTTGCATATTATCTTAGTGCTCTAAAATTATTCTAACCTACATGCAGGAATGGGTAAATACCCCTTAAACAAAAATAGAGTTGGTTATGTTAGCTCGTTTGCTGTTTCACTGTTAAACAAATTGTTCCCAGAACAGCTGCTTCTCAGGAATATCAATGACAGTGCAGCCAAACTAGGCAGGCCTTTATGATTTTGAGGCCTCTCTCAGCTCCTAGTAAACTTCAAGCTCTATAACAAGGCTTGACAGGAGTCTCAAGCTCAGCTACAATTTCGTGGTTACCTATTAACTCACAGAGCCTGGGAAATTAAACATGTCACTGCCAATTAAACCTACACTGTTAGAGGTAAATCATCATGTGTTACTGAGCAGTAAATCAAATCTATGATTCCTGGTAAGCATCATGGCATACTTCTTTTCCCTATCCTTTGTCTCTCTCTTTCTAAATTACCATGGTGGTATTATTTTCTCTCTTGTTTTTAGGATTTAGAAATACCAGCAGTGTCCATACTCCGTAGCATGGTGCAAAAATTCCCAGGCGTGTCATTTGGAATCAGCACTGATTCTGAGGTTCTGACCCACTACAATATCACTGGGAACACCATCTGCCTCTTTCGCTTGGTAAGTTGGATGGGTAGCTTGAGCTTTCTCCCAGATTTTCGTTATGTTGTGCACTCATAAACTTGTGAGACTAGAAAGGACTCTGTGTCTTTGACACTAATGATGATGCCAAATTCAGGGACATTGTTGACAAGGATGATGACTCAATTCAATTTTCCCAAACAGGTTACTGTAATGAAATGGAAAGAGGACAGGAATGGAATTTGTGGTACTGTTTTGTTGCTCAATAGCTACATGACTTTTGGCAGTCACTTTACATTTTTAACTCTAATTATTTCCTTTATAAAATAAAAGAGTTAGACTCTATCATCTGTAAGGTCACTTTCAGCTCCAAAATTTTTATATTAAATATTTGGAGGAGTTCATCTATGGTCTTCAAACATTTCTTTATTAAATACTTCCTGTGTGCTCTACGTAAGATACTGATAATAAAAACATGTTAAATATATTCTCCACTCTCATAGATCTTAGAGAATGGTAGGGATTGTAAACATAATATGTAAGTATCTGTGCTACAAAGAGCAGACTTCTCCTGACCCTCTTGTGGCATTCATAGTCTCCTTGAGACCTTCTCTTCCTGTATCCACAATGCTGCCTGACCCAACACTTTCTCTAATCTAGGTCATAGACGCCAATGTTCTGAAAGGCAGAGACCGTTCTGTTCCATGTATCCACAGAGCCCAGAACGGTGCTTGCCATGCAGTAGGTGCTCACTAAGTATTTGTTGAGAATGAATGTATGAATGAATCAATGAATGAGTGAATACGTTCTACATAAGAAATACAATTATTTTGCATATTTCACTATTATGTGCTTGCTGCGCATTTAGAATATTTTATCTCTAGTCTAGACTTCTCTGATGTTTCAAACCTTTCCTGGATATGAGCATTTTTATACCCTCATAAGCACTATACTCTTAAAATGTTCAAAACTGAATTTACTGTCTGCACCTGCTAATCATATTCCTCCATCTAAGATATTGTTTTATTAAATGACTATGCTCATTTGGTATTTCATTTTTGCCAGTTGTATCTTCTATTTTGAATCTATATTATCCTCCACTCCTTCTACCTCATTCTGTATTTAGGTTCTTAGCATCATCGGCATAAGCAATTTCAATAGCTTCTTAACCGATCTCCTTTTACTACTTTATATACAGCTTCTAGAATGTAGTTGATGTATTTAAGATTGAAATTTGACTATGGCACTCCTCTCTTTAAAATGCTTCAATAGTTCTCATTTCTTACAAAATCAAAAACGAGACTTTTAATGTTACAAATAGGCTTTGTTGACCTACCTCACTGCCTGCTTCTCGATTCCTTTGTCCATCCAGCTTCCACCCTAGGCTTTACCCTCTCAGTAGCCAACTACACACATTATGGTCATCCAATTTCATGATCTCACCTAGACCATTCCTTCTGCCTAGAATGCCACCGCCCAAGGGTCCCCTTTCACCTAGCTTCACCTGGATGACTCCTCCTCATACTCCAGTGAACCAGTTCAGGAATGTTACTCTTCAGGAAGCCTCCTTGGAATCTCCAAATGGGCCTAAGCATTTAAGCATTCCTCTATATGTAATTTCTTTCGTCTTTCTCCTTCTTTCCTTCCTTCTTTCCTTTTTTTTTTTTTTTTTTTTTTTGAGACAGAGTTTCACTCTTGTTGCCCAAGCTGAAGTGCAACGGCGCAATCTCGGCTCACTGCAACCTCTCCCTCCCAGGTTCAAGTGATTCTCCTGCCTCCCGAGTAGCTGCGATTACAGGCACGTGCCACCATGCCCAGCTAATTTTTTGTATTTTTAGTAGAAACGGGGTTTGACCGTGCTAGCCAGGCTGGTCTCAACCTCCTAATCTCAGGTGATCCACTCGCCTCAGCCTCCCAAAGTGCTGGGATTACAGGCGTGAGCCACTGCACGTGGCCAATTTCTTATCTCTATTTTTATCACTTTATAGTTCATAACATATATTTATATATAATATATATATAACATATAAATATATATATTTAATAAATATATATATATAACATATATATAAATATATATTTATATATCCTCTATTACCCGCTTAGGCTATGACCTATTCAAGGTTGAGAACTATGACTTATTCATCTTTGTATTCCAAAGGGCTATCATACACCTCTGGCACGTTGAAGGCACTGGGAAGGTGCTTGCGGAACTGAACTCACCTACAAAAGTATGTCTGAGGTTTTGCAAGCTCCCTTCAGCAACCTGTTTCCCACCTGCACGGTAGTTGCTGGTTTGCATTCTCACCAGTGTGAAATAGGATTATATCAAGTTCTTCTGTGAAAACCTTTGGTAAGGAATATATGGAAGATTAGGCAAATGCCTTCCATGTTGCCATTGAACCACTGGTAGAAATCCTTCAATACAAAAATTCTAATAAGCTGCACTCCACAAGTACGTCTTTCTCAGTTTTTTGTTTGTAGGTCTTATAAAGACCTGATTTCAAAGGCTTAGTACTACCAAGATACACATGTGGGGAAGAAAAACAAGTGCTGTTGCTTCCAGCATCTCTACAGGCTTAACATCCTCTAATGAGAGCATTGCCTTTGCTTACAATGTATTCCTTATAAAGCCTCATTGGTGACTTCTCCGTTTTTCACTCTTCTTTAACATCTGTTTTCTGTTTACTGCTAGCGACAGACCTACTCTAAATGAACTCTTGGGACCTTTGTGGGCAAGATTATTTATGTGCCATACCAGAAAACAAACAAACTGGTTCCTGCCCTGCTTCATTGGCAAGGCTGGAAGATGCTCAGCTTTTGTCATGCCAGCTTTCAGATAAATACTTTTTTTCACAGTTTACACTTTCCAAAGTTTGCTGCATATTTTAATAGGACCATCATTCAAGAGTTTGGGTTAACTTTTTTTTTTTTTTTTAAAGAGAACATCACCCAAGACTATTCTATTTTACACTGGGAAATGTGAACGTATTGAAAATTTTCTGGGACCTTGTTTCTTTTTAGATCGAGTTGGTTTGGTTTGCTTGTTTTTAGAACCTAATCTATGATAAACATTATTACAATATTTGACCATTTAATTCACACAGGAATCTGACGAAGTATTTTTTGTTATTCTGGCAATAAGGAAAGTTCCATGAGAGATTGGCTTAGTTGCCCAAAATCTCACAACTATGAAATAACAGATATCTGATTCATACCAAGCATTGCGGATTAAAAATCATACCCTTTTTACTATACTATAGTGGCTTTCCAAAGCACTTGACCCTGAAGAAAAACTTCGTGTTTACACTGGATTCTATCTATTGTCCCTCATTCCAAAGCCTATATTTTTTCTTTTAACTATTTTCTCTTAAACTATTTCTCTATCCCCCCAGCATTCCTTAATCAAACTGCAGAATTACTTATCAAGATTTAATCTAAACATTAGTTTCTGAATTTACAAAATTTTCCATTTTAAGAACTTATTTAAAAATAAGCTGAAATAATGATTAAGTGAAAAAAACAACAAGAAATTGATATTACTTGATGCTTGAAATGTTGGAGTAATGAAAGGCCAGCCAATGCTGCATTTATGCAACACATCATTCTCCAAAAATACTTCAGGCCAACTATGTAAAAGTAATCAGGAAGAATTTAGGTAAAATTCATGAAAATATAATAAGTTGCATATAACAACCTTGCTGTTTGAGGGCACAGCCTGTGTTTTCTGATTGTAACAGCAGAGAAACTCTCAAATTTTTCAATAGGACCCTTACTGTTGCCCTAGCAGAGAGGTAATTCCCAGGTTAAATAAACTATGAGTCTGTCCTAAAATGGAACTTGAAATATTATTTGAATGTTTACCCTGCTTTGGATTTTTTCAGTCACAACTATTTTAGGAAACATAATTGACCTAACTTTGACCTAATGGGAAAGAAGTGAAAACACAGTGCAGTCATCTTTTATTCCTTTTATGGTTATTTACTGGATGGCTATTATAAGAAATACACCTCACCAGACAAAGAGAAGCAGAAGAAACTAGTACATGAGAATAAACTGATAAGAAATGCAAGAAGATATATCAGATTACAAAACATTTATTTTCTTTTATTTTTTATTTTACTTTAAGTTCTGGGATACATATGCAGAACATGAAGGTTTGTTACACAGGAATACATGTGCCATGCTGGTTTGCTGCACCTATCCATCTAGGAACCCATCATCTAGGTTTTAAAAACCCGTCATCTAGGTTTTAAGCCCCACATGCATTTGCTATTTGTCCTGACGATCTCCCTCCCCTAGCCCCTCACCTCCCGACAGGCCCCGGTGTGTGATGTTCCCCTTCCTGTATCCATAATGAAACATTTTCTCTAAAGTATATATTTATAAATATATGATAAGCTGAGCAACATACAAAAACAAACCGAGGACATGAGGACAATTGTTTAACCAATGATTTCTCAGTGCCACCAAAGATATTTAATGCTATAACTGTGGTGTAAACTAAAACAATTTTTAATACATTTTATAAAAATCTGGGTTGTTAGAAAAATCCATGCGAATTCAAATAAATATTGCTAAAATACTAATGAACAGAAAATAAGGAATTAAATCTCTTGGTATGATAGAGTGCTTATAACAAAATAATCTACTTCAAATATGCTTGAGAAAACTCAAAATTATATTTTAAGGTAGCAATTTTTCCAGTTTACTATTTCTATTTTTCTTCTGGTGCCGCTTTTCTCTGGAATAAAAATATGATATCTTAAGTAAAATTCTTTTCAAAAAACTGAAAAAAGATATTTTTGAAAGTTTTGGTTCCAGGGTTGGATTTTCTTTCCAGCGCATTATGCAAATAATTCACTTTACAGAGGGAGATTTTCTGTTCAAACGTTGCTTCCAGAAACCCTAAACATGAATGTTCCAGAGTTTATTCATTTAAGATAAATGAAAGATCGGGCACGTTTTGTTAAAAGAAGTACAACGAACTGGAGAGAGGGTGGCTTTTATTAAAGCTCTGTTGCTTCTTAGAGAATGTTATCGCCACTTAGCATCCTCTGCCTCCAATCTCGTACATTCCTCAAGTCCAGAAACACCTGGAGTGACTGGCGTTTCCTGTTCTCCCTGTTCTGGGAAGTATGAGGGACTGCCGGGAAAAGAGTGGAGAGTGGGAACTCTTGGTCCCTGCACAGCGATGTCAGCTGAGGCACAGGCGCCAGGCCTAGGAGTTCCTAGAAAAATAATCAGGAAGCACTTAGACACATCAAATATAAAAAGAGTCCTGATTGTGGTGATAATGATGATGATTTTGGCGGTTGCAATAGCAAAGCCTAAGTATGAAGGAAACATGCCGGCTGGAAACACAGGCCAGCAGCAGCATTAAGGATCCAGAGGACCTGCAAATAAATATCAGTTTTTCCTGTGCTGATTTTATTTCTCTACTCATTCTTTCTGACATAGGCAGGAGAAGGGGAAGGAGGTGGTAGGGGGTGGGCAAGGATCCACCTCAGACCTTTTGTCTTGCTTTCATGTTTTGTTTTTTTCCCCAAGCTTTCTACTAGAAACTTCATGAATTTTTAAACAATTAAGAATACACAAGGTGTTCACATTTTTATCCTGTGGTTTTGACTTGTTTCAAAATTCTTTTTTAGAACTACAGACTTTTCTATACCTCGGCATTTATTTATTTCATAAATTTAAGCTGTGTAAAGCAGTCCCAAGATAAAGAGTGCTTAAATTGCCATCTGGATAAATGGCTGCAGCTTGTGCCTTTGTGGATATAGCAGGCACTCAACGAATAATTATTAAACAAATGGATCATAAGAGAATGACTGGATCTAACCAGAATTAAAATTAACCATGGGGTGCATTGCACATCTCCAGGGTTCTTACTGTTTTTCATTACCCCAATGGGAGACCCTCTTGAACAAAAGAGGAAAAAGGAATCATCACCAGGATGACAATAAAGCAAACTTGGATTCTTGCTGTTTAGTGACTTTAATTTCCCTTTGCCCGAATTCCCTCTTACGTTAACTAAAGTGAGATTTGCTTCTGATGTTACTGGGTAGACTAGGAGAAAATATCTTGGGGACAAAAGGGTGATTCTGATGATAGGCAATATCTGATTGGGCAGGACCCATACAAATAGCACATGGAGGGGAACAGGGTAGGGAGATGTCCAAGGGTAGGTGGCCCAACGATCTCAAAAGGATGCAAACTATTTTAGGAAATGGACAAAATTGTTCAGGAGCTGGCACTAAACATTTTCATCTATAGGCATGGATCTATCTTCCTCTTTTTTTTTTTTTTTGGAGACAGAATCTCATCCTGTCACCCAGGCTGGAGTGCAGTGGCGCAATCTCAGCTCAAGGCATGGATCTATCTATGGATGGTGGAGACATTATCTTTGTGTCTTTATGGGCATGAGTAGATTGGGGAAAGGAAACAGAAAACTGAGAACAATGATTGGAAGAATGAAGTCCTATCTTTCAATATAATCTGAGTGTGGTGGAAAGGTTGTTCTGAAATACGATTCTGGGATAATGGATCATGTAGGTAGACAATCCTTTCCACCAAAGACTATTTTTAAAAGTTAAAGTGTGTGTGTGTGTGTGTGTGTGTGTGTGACTGAAGGCATTAGAGAGCTAGTAGAAAACGGAAAACGTCTGGGTCAAGATTTAGAGGAAGATGAAAACCCAAAAATATGAACGTTGCGTTGAGGGCTTCTTTTTGTCTAGAGGGCTTTGGTCAGTTCTAGAGGCGGCCAAGAAGCTAAGAAATAAATTCGTATTTTGAGATCCTCAGGAGTTAGAAAATTAAATGTTGGCGTCCAGGCCTCACAAGGGGAAGTCAGAGGTGAATCTTGTGCAAGACCTTTCACATCCCCTTTGAATCCTACAGAGCTGTACCTAAAAACAGGGATGAATCATAGTACATAAGCCCTCTTGAGGGCTGCAGCACAGATGCAAATCATTTCAGCCCCTGAAATTGGATTAGAGTGATTATATATATATATATATATATATACACACACACACACACACACACACATATACACACACACACATATACACACACCCATGCAAATATACACACATATACCTACACATGCAAATATATATACATGTGGAATATGTACAAGCCACTCTTAGCCATGCCATACTAATCTAAAACTTAACAAAATATAACATGTTAAAAGAAGTCAGAGAAAAGAGAGATTATCATCAAAATAATCTCAAAGGGAAAATCATAAGGCTCACAGCTAACTTCTCAATAGCAACAGCGGAATGCAGAATACAAAGCATTATATCTCTCAAATACTGAAAGAAAATATCTGCCAAATTTAGGATTCTACCCCCAGCAAAAACAGCCTTCCAAAATAAAGGGGGAATAAATATATATTAAATAGCCAAACTGGGAGAATTTGTCACTCAACACACCCAACTCACACTAAAGAAAATATTAAAAGGTCTTCTTTAAGCAGAGGAAAGAAAACCCACATAGAAGCTAAAAAATACAGGAATAAAGAGAAGCTAAAATGTAAACATGTGCATAAATGTAAGTGTATATTCACAATATAACAAAAATAGTAATATTCTGTGAGCTTTGGAATTAAAACACATGATACAGATCATGTGTAAGTCTTGAATGTCTAGCCAGAAAATGGAATTTGAAAGAGCTAAACTGTATTTGAATATTCTAACGTCTGCATTGTCCAAGAAAAAGGTGAAATTGCCAATTAATATTAGGTTCTGAGAAGTGAAAAAATGCATGCTGTATAATGTATTCTGGTAATCCCTAAGGAAATGATTAAAGCCTATGTAACTTCTAAGCCAAAAAAGGGAAAGAAGAAATAATATACTCAGTCCATTCAAAGGTGGGCCAGAATTAAAGAAAAATAGAATTTGAAACACGTAGAACCAATGGAAATTTTAAAAATTAAATACATCAGTAATTTCATTTAATGGAAATAACCCAATTAAAAGACAAAGATTATCACGCTGGATTGAAAAATACAACTATGTGCCTTTTACAAGTGACACAAGTAAAACACAGAATGGATATATACCACAAAAACCCTTCCAAAAGAAAGCTGATATGAATATATTAATACCAAACAAAGTAGACTTTTAGGCAATAAGCATTCTTAGAGATAAAGAATAACATATCATATTTATGACAGTTTCAATTTGTCAAACAAATCTAACAGTTCTAAATTTGCATTTATCAAATACATGTCCTGATACTTATATAAGCACAGACTGACAGAATTGAATGAAAAGATGGTTAAAGCCAAAACATAATAGAAAATTTTAACACTCTTTTAAATAAGATAAGCTGGTTAAAAAAATAAGGAAGATATAGAAAATTTCAACTATGAAATTAACCAAGTGACCTAACGGATATATATAGAATACTGTATTCAAAAACTCTAAAATATACTTAATTTTAAAGACATGAGTAATAAAAATGAATATATAAAATAAAACTAGAAATCAATAAGAATATAACCAGGAAATCTTACAATTTAAAATTAAGAAATACACTTCTAAATAACTAATAGTTTAGAGAGGAAATAAAAACAAAAAATTAGGAAACATTTTGAACTGCATGATAAAAATTCTACATATCAAATTTATAAATGCATTTATCATCTTCTAAGGAGGAAATGTAATGATTTCAATGCATTTTTTCTACTTACCAATTTAAAACTGGCCAAATAATAGGATTCGATATTTCAGAAACATAAAAATGTGGAATGGTCCTTAAATCATGATGTAATCAGAACCTACCACCAACCACTTACCCAAAGGTAGTCTTTGGGTCGGGGTTGGGGGGTTCCTCACTATAGTTTCCTCCATGGGCTCCAGAAAAATGTTAGTAAAAAGGGGTCCTGATCCAGATCCCAAGAGAGGGTTCTTGGATCTTACAAAAGAAAGAATCCAGGGTGAGTCCACAGAATAAAGTGAAAGCAAGTTTATCAAGAAAGTAAAGAAATGAAAGACTAGCTACTCCATAGACAGAGCAGCCCCAAGGGCTGCTAGTTGTCCATTTTTGTGATTATTTCTTAATTATATGCACTAAGGGGTGGATTATTCATGCCTCTGCTTTTCAGACTATGTAGGGTAACTTCCCGACATTGCCATGGCTGTTGTAAACTGTCATGGGGCTGGTGGGAGTGTAACTCTGAGGACTACCAGATGTCTTGCTCATCGCCGTCGTGGTTTCGGCCAGCTTCTTTACTACAACCTGTTCTATCAGCAAGGTCTTTAAGACCTGTATCTTGTGCCAACCTGCTATCTCGTCCTGTGACTTAGAATGCTTTTAGCCACTTTTCAGGAGTGCCTTCTTTCCTGAAGCTTTTCTTCTCTTCCTTAGTGGGCCTGTGATTCTTCTGTGATGACACCTGCCACACCATGTGGGACATTTCTCTTCACTTTTTCGGATCCTACAAAACAGTTTTTTCCCCGGGACAGGGAACCCTTCTTACTTATCTTTCTGTCCTTAAAGCTTTAATCAGTGCCTGTCACATGGGGGGTCTAAAAACATTTATCAATACATGAAAAAAAGATGGAATAGTGACTTTATCCTTTTTTGTGTTACCCAGGTGGATAATGAACAACTGAATTTAGAGGACGAAGACATTGCAGGCATTGATGCCACCAAATTGAGCAATTTCATTGAGATCAACAGCCTCCACATGGTGACAGAGTACAATCCTGTGGTAAACAATATTTCCTGTCCCCCGCCCCTTTGGAGCCTGAGTCAGGGAAGGTACCGGTCTTCACACAGATGTCTCTTCCTCCCAGAATTCCGATTCTTCAACCAATAATGTCAGGAACTGCCATTAATTGAACACCTACTATATTGTTTATGTTACTATCCTTACTGCACCTTTTTAAGATTGGACTTGTCCCTGTTAAAGAAACAGAGAAAAGTTAAATGAACTATCACACTGCTAGTAAGAAAGAGAACCAGAATGCAAAGTTAAGTTGACTGACTCAAGGCCAGGTGCAGTGGCTCACAGCTGTAATGCCAGCACTGGGGGAGGCCAAGGCCTGAGGATCGCTTGAGCCCAGGAGATTGAGAACAGCCTGGGCAACATAGCCAGACCTTGTCTCTACAAAAAAAAAAAAATTTAAATCAGCCAGGTATGGAGGTGTGTGCCTAAAATAAAATAAAAGTAAGTGAAAGACAAACAAAAAAATGTTAAATGAAGCCCAGTGATCATATGTTTGGATGTCACAGCAATGTAAAGTTTCTATAATTGTTTCCAAACACCCATTTCATTTTCTGTTACTTGTGGACCAGTGACGAACATTTCCTGGTCTGGCAGCAGCTGCAAACCATGCTTTGACTAACACATCCCTACACCCTCGCCACGCCCCAGCCTTCTCTCTTAGCGTGTCTTCCTCTGGTGTTGCATGCTGCATGCAATCTGGGTAAAGGCGATGTCCCCGCTCTCCTGATCACCATCTGGCCTTCTGACTCTCTCTATAGACTACAGCATAGTCTATAGAATTATCTTATGTGTCCTGTTCTTTATTTTCCCTGACATGGGTTATAGAATCTTACAGAGTATTAATTTCTAGTGATCTACATCGTCTCAAAATGCTGTGCCTTCTATTCTCCAATGACAGTACTTTACATGCATGGTATGATTTTTGAGAACTTAAAAAGCCCTTTCATTCTCATTTCCTCATTTAATTCTCACATTGATTTTTTTTCTTTTTTTTTTTTTTTTTTTTTTTTNGTAGAAGAGAGGAAAGTATTGTGTCCATTTTATAGAGGAGAACATTCAAGATCCAAGTGATGACATCATTCAGGGTCACATAATGAGTAAATAGAAAAGGCATAATTTAAGAAAGTAAAAGCAACTGCGATGCATTAGCACATATTGCCTACTTCCATGTTACAGTAGAGGAAACGGGAGTTCAGAAAATTTAAGTAACTTCCTCAAAGCCTTATGGCTAGTAATTTGAGCTTCAAAGACACTCTATGTAGTTGTCCTTGCCTTTTCATGACTGGTCCCTGTGACTGAATCCTCTGGTTTGTCTATTGCCCTACACTGCCTTCAACAGAAAACACCCCTTTTCTTGTTGACTAAATTCTGGTGCACCTCTAACACCATCTTTATCTCTGTGGAGTTGGTGACTGTTTCTACTTCTGCTAAGACCCCAAACACATATGCCTCTGGGGTGTTGGCAGTAATCATCAAAAAGGCATTCTTCTGCATGTGGGGCCAGAAAAGATGATTTTATTGTCCCTGGGCTATGGCCCCCGTGTCCTGGCATTTTGCAAGCTGGCTCAGGGAAGGGCAGAAACTGACGTTCCTGGTGTCTTATGCCTGATCTGTCTCTCAGTCAATTTGCAGAGCAATGACATATCTTTTTAAAGTTCCATGTGATTAGTGAAGGCAGATTATATCAAGTAAAAAATCAGTAAGAATGTCTTTAAAGAAGCAAGTTCAATTTTTATTGCTACTTTATTTTCTGAAAGTAATATTTTTCTCATTTGGAGAACTGTCAGTTCTACTCTAGCTATTCCTCATCCGCTTCTAGTGCAAAGGTTTGCACCAGTAGCAACTGGGCAGAAAAATCCCAGCCATGTACTTGACCCGCCATGCACTTTTAATACACATACTCAGTACTTGGCATCGAGGTGAAATAATCAGGCTGTGTCTGTTAGGATTAAACTAATCCATTCTGCTATGGCCAATCCCTTCTGCTAAGATAACTGTACCTTTTGACATCTTAGCTTTTATTTCTTTACTCTTCCCAAGAATTATCCTCCATCTTATCTGTAGAATAGCAAATGAATGCTCTAAATTTAAGTAGCAGGATTTCGTAAAACAAGAGTAAATCATGTATCATCCAATCTCCCAAACGTAAAATCTAAAACTTGATTTTAAACTCCATGGAGAAATCTTTAGGAAAGGGCCCATTGTGCCCTCCTTGCCTACATATTACCCCCCAACCTCCCCCCACCACCACCACCACCAGCGCCAAAAGAGCTGCGGAACCTCTACAAAAGTGTGTAGCTTCAGGAAGAATTCTTCCTAGCTGCTCCCTTCGCCATCCTCCTAAGACTCTGCCCAAAGGTTGGTTAACCCACCATGTTCTCTCTTCCTGTGTACACACTAGTTTTGTAGCAATGCTTTCTGCATTTAGGGGAGGTGAAAAGAAATAAGATTGGTTTAAAGTAGACTTGCAGCATTATTTTAGGACAGTGAAATGAAGGGAACCAGTGCCATGGATTCTGCTTTTTCCTCTCCTCACTCTGACTGGTGGCTATTCCACTCCTCTAAATCATTGATAGCTTCATGGGAAATCACCTTCTCTAATCAGCAAAACAAGGTCAATGCTTCTGATCTCCTGAAGAGCTCGCCTTCTGCTAACCTTTGGCACACTGGTTTAACAACATTTGGGATTAAATTGGTTTATATGGGGTTTTGCTATCCACTGTGCACGAGGCAGTCCATCTTGGTGGTCAAGAGCATGGACTCTGGAGCTAGACCACCTGGTATGAATCCCAGTCTGCCATTTATTTGACTTTGGGAGAATTACTCAGTCTACCTGTGCCTCAATTTCCTCATTTGAAAGACTGGGACCTTGCAGATTATATTACTTTTTATATGTTAAAAGTCAAGGACAGTGCCTTCCGCATAATAAACACTCAGTAACTATGAAGTACTAATAGTACTCAAAGGCTACATTTTAAGTATCTCTGACTAGTCTTGAACAAGAAGAGAGGCTGAAACAAAGTGACTAATATGTTACATAGTATATTTGTTGTCTATTGCTACACAACAGATTACTCCAAATCTTAGGAGTTTCAAATACAAGAAACATTGATACTGTCATGCAGTTTCTGCAGGTCATCCAATGTGGGGTGGCTAGGGCTAGGTGCTTCTGGTTTGGGGTCTCTGGGGAGGTTGTGGTCATTGATCAGGGCTGCAGTCATCTGAAGGCTCCAATAGAGCTGGGGATCTGCTTCCTAGATGGCTTCTCCAAAAGACTGGTTAGTCAGTGCTGGCTGTTAGAAGAAGGCCTTAGTTCCTTGCCATGGGTTTCTCCTCAGAGGACTGCTTAAGTGCCCCGCATTGGGGCTGGTATTTCTCAGAGTGAGAGATGTGAGAGAGAGATCAGAGACCTACTATCTTTTAAGACTTCCCCTTGGAAGTCACACTCCATCATTTCTGCAACATTGTCTCAGTTACTCAGTTCAGCCCCATTCAGTGTGAGAAGGAAGGATCTACACAGTTGCATGAAAACAAGATGGTGAGACTTACTGAGAGGCATCTTGGAAGCTAGTTCTATTTGCGTTACCAGTGGCCAGCTCTCACTTATGTTTCAGTCTACCTTTTCACTCCTTCACAGACACTAAGGCATTCTTCCTCTCTCTTTCACTCTACTATAACACATTTCGACTTGCCAGACTGCAATTGGGCTATTCAACAGCGTAATTCAGATTCATCTTCTCCTGATAATGAACAAGGCCTCTCCAGAGCATGAAGAGAACATGCAGAGATACCAGAAGGCAGCCAAGCTCTTCCAGGGGAAGGTAAGGCAAGAATGGGAATATCCTATTGCATACACACCACCAGGACACTAGGAAAAGGGAGATAGGGCTAGGAAGCAGAGATAAATAAGGAAAACAGCTATGATTAGGAAATAGCAAAGCAAGAAGTAGGCCACAATAAATCACATTATTTGAAATTAAAGATGTGGCATTTTATCATATTAAAGGCATATCTAATGATAGTAATTACTATAATGATTACACTTCCTGTAGTGATTAAGTCTGGGTCTTTTTCTGCATTGATTGGTAGAGAGAAAATAGAGATCCAAAGAGACTGAAAACAAAATCACCTGTAAGTCACAATTTGTTTAATCCTTCCCATAATTTCTTAGAGATTTAGACCTCAGGGCTTATTTCTCATATAAAACACCTATCAAGTACCAGTGGCTACTCAATATTCAATGAGTATTTCTTTCTTCCCCTCTTCTCTTTTGTGAAGTTCTGCTTGATATCACTTAAATCGTAAAACTTCAACTGCTGCAAGGCTACTATGCCTAACTAATGACTGTTCTAATGATGAAAACTGGTAACAAAATACGCTGCCTTTCTAATGGTTGGTTCTCTAACACTGGAAATATTTAGTCTTACTGAAAGTAGACAGTCATCTGATCAGAATATTATAAAGATTTCTACTTAGGGTTGAAGCTTTGATTGAATAATATAAAATAGTTTACATTTATCAAGCCCTTACTATATGCCAAAAACTAAATAAACGTATTAATGCTTTACCTCATTTAATTTCCCCCACCAAAAGCCCATTTTGCCAATGAGAAAACTGAACCTTGGAGAGGCTGAGTAATGTGCCCAAACTCATGCAGCTGGAGAGTACCAGGGACAGAATTTAAAACTTGTTCTCTGCTCCTAACCATTAGGCATACTTCCTTTCTTAGTCGCTAAAATATTCTCCAATTCTATGTTCTTAAAATTAAATCAATCTGGTCAAAGGGATAAAACACCAAAGCAGCACAAAATAATAGGAAATTCATTTATTTAACTTTTAAGTTCAGGGGTACATGTGAAGCCTTGTGATATAGGTGAACTGTGTCACAGGGCTTTGTTGTACGCATTATTTATTTCATCATCCATGTATAAAGCCCAGCACTAATTGTGATCTTTTCTGCTCCTCTCCCTCCTGCCACCCTCCACCCCCAAGTAGACCCCAGTGTCTGTTGTTTCCTTCTTTGTGTTCCTGAGTTCTCATCATTTAGCTCCCACTTATAAGTGGGAACAGGTGGAATTTGGTTTGCTCTTCCTGCATTAGTTTGCTAAGGATCATAGCCTCCAGCTCCATTCGTGTTCCCACAAAAGACGTAATTTTGTTCTTTGCTTTGGCTGCAAAAATTTATTTTAGCTCAAGATTTAAATTGCATGGTGCAGACCATAAATTCAATCAGTGTAAGCCGCAACAATTACAAGGTATCTCTTTATCCCCAGGACCTCAGGTAGGACTTTTTCTTTTAAATTTCTCCAACTGCAGATTCTCTTTATTCTGGTGGACAGTGGTATGAAAGAAAATGGGAAGGTGATATCATTTTTCAAGCTAAAGGAATCTCAGCTGCCAGCATTGGCAATTTACCGGACTGTGGATGATGAGTGGGATACACTGCCCATAGTAGAAGTTTCCATAGAGCATGTCCAAAACTTTTGTGATGGATTTCTAAGAGGAAAATTGTTGGTAAGTGTGAGACTGCAGGTAAAGCAAGTTGTTTTCTTTCTACATCCCTTTTATTTCCTGTTGAAGAAGAATCCTTTGGGCTCAGAGAGTGGGGAGGGCCAAATGTTGGTTAATGGATACCATGTGCAGCTAGATAGGAGGAATGTCTAGTGTTCTATAGTACTACAGGGTGGCTGGAATTAAGAAAAATTTATTATATATTTTCAAATAGCTGGAAGAGTAGATTTTAAATATTTCCAACACAAAGAAATGATAAATGTTTGAGGTGACGGATATCCTAATTATTCTGATTTGGTCATTATACATTGTGTATATGTGTAGAAATATCACTCTGTACTCCATAAAAATGTAATTATTATGGATCAATTAAAAACAATAAAAGCAAAATAATTAAAGTTAAAAAAATAATTATTTGTGCCCTACTGGATTTGATTAAAAGCAAAAGTCTATGAGGATATGGTGGCCAGATCAAGATGCTTGTTAGGGTACAGTCATGAGACTAGAACCAGAAAAGCATTTTTGGAAAGGCCTTGCATATTCAGAGGTTGAATTTTGTACTTCAGCATTTAGTTTAAAGTATTAATGGGCAACAAATCAAACTTCATATAAAAGAGTTCATGAGAAAAAAATTAAAGATGGATTTAGGACTTCCAGGAGTAATCAAACAGCTGAGTTTACTAATCCCAGAGTGAACTCCAAATCTAAATGTCATTATGATGTTTTCCAGAAAGAAAATCATGAAGCAGATGAAAAGCCTCCAAAGGTGGAACTCTGACTTCTCCCTGGTACTGCATACGACCAAGTGTCTGCTTTATGCAAAGTAAAAAGGCCCAACTCAAATCTCAGAGACACTAAACAACAGGATCACCAAGCCTGCAAACCATACACACACACACAATCACACGCACACACACATACACAGAGAGAGAGAGAGAGTGCTTCATTTTCTTTCTCAAAATCTCATTTTCTCTTCTTCTTTCTTTTAAATGTCCTATCCTCACCTCCTACCCAATTTCCTATTGTGCATTCACACTGTGTGAGCCCATCTATAACACCATTAGATCAAGGCTTTAAGAGACTCACTGTGCTATCTCTATGGAGAGACATTCCTAGAGAAGGATTGTTCTGATTTGTCATTTAATATTAAGTTTCTATACTCACGTGACTTACACACAACATAGTTCCTGCTCTTTTAAGGTTACCTAAGGGTTGAAACTCTACCTTCTTTCATAAGCAACATGTCCATCTCCAACTCAGGACCAAAAACCAAAGGATGGTTTTAAACGCCTTTCTGAAATTGCCTTTTTCCCAGAAGTTGAAGGCTGTCTCCAAGTCTCCAAACCCAGCAGAAGTAGACCATGTGAAAACTCCATGCTTGGTTAGCATCGCCAACTCCCCGTGTAAATCAACAACCTGCATAATAAATAAAAGGCAATCATGTTATAGGAAAAGCCTGACATCTCTTTGCAGGCCAAACCTTTTGTAAATACCCAGCTGCCCAACTAAGCAGCGTGTTCCTCACTCTGCAGTGCCCACTGTTTAGTGTCGGGCCATAAGCCACTAACATGTTATTGTTCACTCTGTAGGTGGGATGGGTGGAAAGTAGAGATGCTCCTGATGAGGAGCAACGAAGTGGCAACGAAACTAGGAAGCAAATTAGGTAAAAGGTTGGGGAACGGATAGGAGAAGCAGGGCACTGGCAGGGGGTGTGCTGAGGCTAAGACTTGGATTATTGCAGGTAGGGTGTGTGACCCAGCTCTCATGGGGTGGAAGGAGAGCTTGGCTGAGTGTCTCTGGCCCACAGGCTGTTACTGTCAACACACAGATGCTGCATTGTTCCCAGGAGGCCCTTGGCTCAGGAGGAAAGTGCCCAAGTGCTGAAGAGCTGAAAAACCACAGATGTACCTAAGGACTTGTCCAAGTGAGGAACAGGGAGTGAAAGGCTCAGTTGTTTCTTTCTGTGGGGAAAACTCCACAGCCCCTGGGCGAGAATCAGCTGCTGGCAACCACACTGTGAAAGCCCCAGTATAAGGCGTGCCCTTCAGCAACGAGACTGAGGGATTCTGTGGAGGTCACCCAGTCCATCCCAGGGCTGCAATCCAAACAGCCTCTCGCTTGAGGCTGAAAAAATATTCCTAAGATAGGCACATCCCAGAAGGCTCCTTTTGATCCTGTAAATGAGAACACTTGACATTTACTGTCAGCAAATTCTTCCTGATATCCAGCTGAGGTCCTCTGGCCATGCAAGTTATTTCATCTTGCCCAACCTTTGTGGAAATTCTTAACAGCTTTCAGATGCCCTCTTCCAACAGGGCCTTTAATCCTTTGTTGGCTGCACTGAAGCCCTTTATCTAGCCATCTTTCCCTAATACTCACAATCTGACTCTCATCATTTGGTTTCTATTTCTAAATCATTCGATTTACTTCATTGTTTCTCTCTCCCCACTCTTTCCCAAATTCTTCACTTTCTTACTTAAAACAGTAGGAACCCAAACTGTAGTAGGACCCATGAGCTACATTTTGTTCAACATTGTGCTAATTTTTGAATTATTTTTCTTGAAGTGTTCCCCTCAAAAACCACATTGAGATACCATCTCACACGAATTACAATGATGATCATTTAAAAATCTGGAGACAACAGATGCTGGAGATGATGTGGAGAAATAGGAATGCTTTTACACTGTTGGTGGGAGCATAAATTAGTTCAATCATTGTGGAAGACAGTGTGGTGATTCCTCAAGGATCTAGAAACAGAAATACCATTTGACCCAGCAATCCCATTACTGGGTATATGCCCCAAAATTATAGATTATTCTATTATAAAGACACATGGAACACATATGTTTATTGTGGCACTATTCACAATAGCAAAGACTTGAAACCAACCTAAATACCCATCGATGATAGACTGGATAAAGAAAATGTCGCACATATACAACACGGAATACTATGCAACCATAAAAAAGGATGAGTCCATGTCCTCTGCAGGGACGTGGATAAAGCTGGAAACCATCATTTTCAGCAAACTGATACAAGAACATGTTCTCACTCATAAGTGGGTGTTGAACAATGAGAACACACGGACACAGGAAGGGGAACGTCACACACTGGGGCCTATCAGGGGATGGGGGGCTAGGGGAGGAATAGCAGAGGTGGGGGGATAAGGGAGGGAGAGCATTAGGAGAAATACTTAATGTAGATGATGGGGTGATGGATGCAGCAAACCACCATGGCACGTGTATACCTATGTAACGAACCTGCATGTTCTGCACATGTACCTTAGAACTTAAAGCATAATAATAATTTTTTTAAATGCGTGTAAGAACACTATAGGAACAAGAGAATGTATGCATGTCATTATATGGAATGAACATAGCAGCATAAAAAAGCCATATCCATACTCTGATTGAAACAACTATAAAAACAGTTTGCCTATATCAATTGAAAGACAGTGCACAAAGCGAAAATCAATCTGTGAAAGGGGACAGATAAGTAACATTTTCCTTTTTATATCGAAATTGCATTTAGTGTTGATGTTACAGTACTGTTTTAAAATAAGGAAGATTGTTTCTTAAAATAGATGAAATAAACAAGTCTTTAAAAAAATGATAATCAGTACTGATCACATGGGTCTTAACATCTTTACAATGCATTTCTCTACTTGGGGGCATTCAGTAGCAATTTTACCATATGTTATTTTATATGCTTAGTTGTGTGTGTACAGGTATTGATCGACTTACGACCTATGCAACTTACGACCATTCAACCTTATGACCACAATTGCTAGCCACGACTGCTCCGCGTCTGGCAACACAAACGTTGCCCAGCTGGGCATACGACAACGCGGACCAGCTTCCGGCAGCACTACCACCTCCGCGTGCACCATTTCAACTGTACATATAGCCTACTCAACTTACGACCAAATCGTGTTACAACCGGTCTGCTAGTCCCAATCGTGGTCATAAGTTGAGCACTAGCTGTATAGCATTGAATTGAATTATTCCTTCTCATCTTGTGGTTCTTCGTAACTGCCAGTTATTTTGGCTGGTCTTCTTCATAAACATTCGTGTTCTTTGTAGCTCTGGGGACTCATGACCAAAGAATGGGGCTTCAGAGAGAAGAAATTTCTAAAGGTTTTCATTCATTTGTTAAAAATCAAATCTCATAAGCATCTGCATTTTTTTCTCTTTGAATAATCTCTTCCCAGGTCTACATCCGTTTCCCCAGGGCTATGTTATTTTTGAGATATCTGGATACATCTTAGCTAATTTTCATTGTAGAATCACTCATTGGCCCTTACTGACATGACTACCGTATTTTTCTTTAGAGTAGGAAGGAAGTGATAATGTTATACATTATTGGCTGGGCACAGTGGCTCACACCAGTAATCCCAGCACTTTGGGAAGCCGAGGTGGGCAGATCACAAGGTAAAGAGATTGAGACCATCCTGGCCAACATGGTGAAATCCCGTCTCTATTAAAAATACAAAAATTAGCTGGGTGTGGTGGCGTGCCCCTGTAGTCCCAGCTACTTGGGAGGCTGAGGCAGGAGCATATCTTGAACCCAGGAGGCGGAGGTTGCAGTGAGCTGAGATAGCGCCACTGCACTCCAGCCTGGCTCCTGGTGACGGAGCGAAACTCTGTCTCAAAAAAAAAAAAAGAAAAAGATGTTAACATATTTCGAAGACTATGCTGGAAGGAGAGGGACTGAAGCAGGACTCAAAGGAATGACTGAAAGTTTGGGTTTGAGTCTCACCTCTTCTATGTGTGTGCCTCTGTGACACTGGAAAAACTACTTTTATCTTTGAACTTTAGTTTACTTAGGGTAATGTAATAATTCTTAGGATTGCTTGAGATCCCAGGGTGATAATCCATATTAAGTAAAGTTTGTCTATTACTTTTCCTTTAATTTAGTACTATATTGCATCTAAATAGTCATTTCTCTAATTGTCAGAACTTATGGGAAGGCAGAGACTTCTTTCAGGCTATTTCTTTGAGGCTGAAAAAGTATTTGAGGTAACAGTTTTTAAATGTAGGTTTTATTATATTCTAGATATGGGGAGGCCAACAGATCAAAAAAGATTGCCATTTGAAAAACAGTTTATTGCTCACAGTTCCCAAGAGAAGGAAGCATGACACCGTGCTGTGCAGAGCCACATGGGGAAGCATCTGGGTTAATCAGAAGGTAGAAGCACTAAGGGGAAAATGACAAGAGCCTTTATTATCGTTTTCATGGGGAGATATGGGAGATAGCTAGGAGGGTAAGGAGGCTTAGGATTGGCTGGTTTTGATCATTTCAGTAGGCTCTGGGGCATAGGAGCTGTCCCTTGTGGCCTGGAACCTGGCTCTGGGTTGAGTAGGGCTGGGTGGTAGCCCAGCATGTGATAGTCCAGTAAGGAGATAGTTGGGGTATGGACTCTGAATCAGCTGACTTGCATATAAAAGCTATACTAGCAGGTGAGTTCATTACTATCTCTAGGAATTGGCTATCTCTAGGAGGGAGGGGCAATCTCTCCAGGGTAAGCAAAGCCCCAAATGTCAAAGCATTAGAAATACATAGATAGTAAAATAGCTCTGACATCCATTTGTCATGAAGTTCTTCTCCCACCTCACCTATTGAGTCATGCCAGAAGGAAAGGCTGCCTTCATCAGGCCCATCTTAATATACATATACCTTGAGCATCCAGGGGTAGGATGAGGGCTGTATAGCATATTGAGAGAGAGAGCAGTTTATTTATATACTCATTCATTCATTTAAATATTTATTAAACAAGTAGAAGTGTGCCAGGGAAAACTGCTCCCTGAGAGAGAGCAATTGGTGATGATTGGATCATGAGCTGTAGAACAGAGACATTTCAGTTGTAGTGACAACAGGCAACATGTAAGCCACAGGAATGGTTCTGGGCCATGGACAGAATGCAGCCAAATAGGGAAAGCAATACACAGGGAAGAGGTGTGTTGTGGAGGGGTCTAGGTAGGAGGCTGGCCACAGGCTGAGGGGGCCACAGCTGGGGCAGGAGAGCCACAAAGGAAACAGTCCACAACCATCATGAGCAAACTTGATTTCACAATTTAATTTGGAACCAATATTTCACCTTTCTGAAAATATCTTGTTTTCTAAACAGAGAAAAGTAAGACAGGAAGTGGGATGGATCTGACCCATGGCCCCTAATTGCAGAAACCTTTCATGAAGAGACCTAGAGAACAGGAAAAGGAGAACGTTAAACACCAACACCTTCTGAGTGTTGAACCTTTGGAGAAAAGGTACTCTGGAAATCAAAGAAGCAAGTGAATTTTAAAATCAGACCTCTAAATTTGAAGGTGATTCACCCTCATTCAATTCACTTCTAAGATAAGTCTCTCTTTTCTTGCTGTTCTGGAACAAGAAGTCATTGTTTTCGTGGGCTTGACAGTGAAATATCTGAGTCATCCTAGGGATGGGAGGATATGGGTGAGTAAAGGACGAGGGCATTAAGCCACTTCTGCAGGTTATGAAAAGCTGTGTGGAATCCAGGCTTTAATGTTTAATTATCCAAACAATTGTACCAAATCTTAATGGCAGAATTTAATTTCTACATTAGCCCACTGGTCTTAAAATGGTAATATAGTGTTAGCCTACAATTAAGGATATAAAAATAGAGCATGTTTGACATAATTCAATCCGTGGTGAAGTAAAAATTTTAAAATTTACATTGTATTACAAGTCATGTTTTCCAAGAAGCCTCTGCAACTAAATTCCATTACAAGAAGTTTATTGGGGAGTGTGTTAGGATCTGTGCAGAAATAAAAAAAAGTAGCATTCACAGAAATATAAGTTAGGCTGTGATGAAGTCATAAGAAAGGCTTAGATTGCCCCATGTGGATATTTGGAGCTGAGGTTTCCTTGTAGAGTGCCCCAAATTGGAGAATGAGAGCCAGGCCTTTATACCCCAACATCGAACACTTGATGATGCAATCTGCACGTAGGAAAGGTGCATGCCCGTGAGCAATATGTTTCATTTGAGCACAGGGAGATTCCTGGGCTGGTTGGTGGGTAGGATTCAGCTAAGAGCTCTTAGTTGTCAACATACTCAGAGCTGGGAGAAGCTAATGACTTTGGGGTGATCTGCGTGGCTCACCACAGCATCCACTACACATGCCTAGAACGGTATCTTCTTTTCTACCACCACACTTGTTGCACCAATGCTATGCAAAAGAATAAGGAAAGGATGCATTCATTTTATCAAATAAAAATTGTGTAGCACCCTCATTAAGTTTGTGCTGGGGAAGAACACGTCTATGTTGTCTTCACTAAAAGGGGCAGGCTTCACTAATCCTGCCAGGGGCAGTAAAATGTATTCATTTTACAATCATTCACTCATTCATTCCTTCACCAAGCATTTATTGAGTGCCTGCTACGAGATAAAGATGTATCAGGAAATAGATCTGGCCAGGTTCAGTGGTTCACACCAGTAATCCTAACATTTTGGGAGGCTTAAGTGGAAGGAACCCTTGAGGCCAAGAGTTCAAGGCTACCCAGAGCAACATAATGAGACCTTAATCTCTGGAAAAAAAAAAAATATATATATATATATGTATATATATATATACACACACACACACGCCAGGATATGGTGTGGTGGCATGTACCTGCAGTCCTGGCTACTCAGGAGGCTAAGGTGGGAGGGTTCCTTGAGCCCAGGAGGTCAAGGAAATAGATCAGACTCACAAAGCATAATGTTGACTTCACATCTTCTCTCCACCCATCTGGTTCCCTAGTGTAAGATAAATATGAAGTTCACTGGGAACTTGAGGAATGGGAATTTCTAATGTACTAGTAGATAGCCACATATTTAAATGATAATGTTAATGATGTAATGATGATGATGATGATGATGATGATGATGTAACTTGGGAGTCAGCAAAAAATGTTAGATTTAACTCCAAATTCTGACCTTAATTCTTATTTATGCCAGCTGAATTTCATGGGGCTGATCTTATTTGTTGTTAAATAGCTCTTGCCTTTATGCCCAGGGTTGATAGTGCCTTACCTTCCTGTCTTCATTTCCTGCTCCTCACTCCTTCTGCCACGCCCTCCTTTTTGCTAATAGCTGCACATCCATCCTTTACTATTTTACCAGGCCCATTCTTTACTGCTTTCTTACCAGTTCATGGCCTCTATCTCCACTTCTCCCTCCATCGCCATCTCTTCCAAGAATGTTGCTCTAGGTCACTACATGGGGCAAAAGTTCAGGCAGGGTGGTAATAACAGGACTGAGAACAAAGGAAAGGAAGTATCTGGAAGGAGGCGGATACACACTGCACAGTATGTTGAAAGTTCAGGCTCTGTCCTGAAATCTCTACCAAGTACACCTTGACCATCAGGCCCCATTAGTCCCAAAGGGCACTCCTTGGAGAACTACGTACCCTTTACTCCGCCACATTTTGGCAAACATGTCACAGAATGAAAATGGAAAAGAATGACGACTTGTGATCTAACTCCTCAGACCTGCAGCCTGTCTTGGATTGACTCATTCTCATCACTCCACACTCTTTTTTTCCCATAACACCACTAATAATATACCAAGCCTGAAGAAGGGAAGAGGCTAAGTTAGCCACAAGTGGTAACGGTAGGTGTTCACAGGAGGGCAGGGTGGTTTGTGGTAGGATATTCACATAACTGTGAAATACAAGAATGGTGGTGGATGGTAATAAGATGTTGCTTTGTAAGGTGGGAGCTAATGGGTCAGAGAATCACTGTCCTGTTGAAGCCAGCTGATGTTTAGGAAAGAATGGTAGTCATATGGTAAGGCAGGAGATACATATGCAGGCCAGACAAAGTGTTAAAATGGCAATTTACTAAAGGCTATCTATAGTTTGAGAACTGTCGTCAACTTATGACCCTCTAGTTCCTCCACTTTCTCATTTTCCAGTTTTCTAAGTTGCAAAATATTCAAGTTCCTCAAAGTTTCCTCAGGAAGATTCACCATTTCTGTCTGTGTGATTTTAATTACAACTTTGTATCTTAATATAGCCATTTCTGGAAAGCTCATGTCACATAACACAATTTCTACATGGCTCTCAAAATGTCTAATTGTAAGTTCAATATTATCAAATTCTACACAGAGATGGAAATTTAAGGCATGAACTTAAAAGGACTTTGTCACTTGAAAACTAATGAATAAATGAGGAAAGCTATGATAAACATCAAGCAGGCTCTTAAATGTATTTGGAAAAGGCCATTATTAGTTATGATTCTTAGTCGCCAAAAACAGAATAGAACCCAAACCACAGCAAAGGCTATTTTGTTCATAGAGCTAATATTAATTTCTCACCCACCTCTACAAATTCCTACGTTTCTCTAAAAGACACACCCCTTAAATTAAGATACTAAAACATCTTTTGAGATGTTTTATTTTATTTTATTTTATTACTGTAGAGATTGAGCCTCTAAGATCTGAATAAAGTGGTCACAGTTGTATGAACGGGAAGAAATTTCAAAGTAATGGAGAAATTTCCTAAGGATAAAGTCACTTCTCCAAGCAGCCATTGTCTTCACCAGTTGTGGTGCTTGGCATTCAAAGGACTGAGTATTTGGTTTAGTGGAAACATCTAGTCTTTTGCAATCTGCCATTAGAAAATGATTGTGCACTGGAAGAGTCAAGGAAGGAGTATGATTCATCATGAAGGGGTCTGTGAAAGAATCTGTCTCTTTAGGCATGAAGAGTTAAATCTTAAAACGATGAGTCTTAGAAATGAAGTGACTGTTCTGGTGCCAAATGTTGTACATCTCCCGAATTAACCCAACATGTTGAAGCAAATTTACCAGGAGCACCTTTTGTGAAAATGAACATAGCATTTAGTATTCATTTACTGTACAACTTCACTACATTTCAGTATTCATTTACTGTACAACTTTCCATTGTACATTTCAGGATTCATGTACTGTTACAATTTATCTAATCATAGCTGTAACCTAGAACTCCTGGGCTCAAGCAATCCTCCTGCCTCAGCCTTCTGAGTAGCTGGGATTACAGGCACTTGCCATCACATTCAGCTCAAATTAACTTTCCGTCTCCTTAAAAGTATATTGTAAGGGTTAAGCGAGATGAGGAATGGAAAGCATTCTGAAATGTAAAAATACACATTGACTTTGGCCTGGACTCAGACACTCCTTAAACGCTGCTTACATACACACCTACCTGCACCTAAATGCCGAATCACTACTGAAGGCAGCCTAAAATGGCTAAGAAGGAGCAGGGGAAGCTGGATCACCTCAAAACAGAGTCTACCAATTAATAAAGAGCTGACTGTGAATCTATGCTCAACTGTAGACAAATGGAATTATTGCCACATTTATGTTCCCAACCCACAGGAGCCAAAAGTAAATCTCCCCATTTGTAGGTACTGTCTGGTAATTTAGTGATACATTACTTTAATCTATGGCTGTGAATGGGGAGGCGAAAACATCTAACTTCTCTGAGACTCAGTTTTCTCCACACAAAGTTATGGAGAAAATGCCTTAAGGTTCCTTCCTAACTCTAAAATCTTGAGTTTTGAAAACTGATGGAAAAAGAGGTCAGAATTGATGGACTAACTAGTTCATGTCCCAGGCACCAGGCCAGACATGTTGCCTCTCCATTGTCTCCTCATAATGAAAATAACTTCAGTTCAGTTAAGGCCAATGCAGCCTTAATGTACTGCTGGTTTGTAAATCAGTCTCTCGCCCCAACTCAAGAGCAGCTGATTCTATTTCTGTCTGATTTTCTTTGCCAAAACTCAGCCCCCAGTTTGTTTGGTTTTAATAAATTTATTCTGTTGTTACGGACATTGTGTAAAATGGAAAAAACAAGTCTAGACTGGTTTTAGTTCAGGAAGTTAGGGCAGGGTCTCTTTATTAAAAACAAACATGCTCCTGCTTGCTTCCTTTTCACTCTTTTCTCACAAATCTGTTCCGAAAAGCCCTTGGAATCCAGGATTACAACATGTAATAATTGCCCCAGATATCTGTACTACACCTGACCCCGTCCTGAATAATAAAGCTGAGAATACAGGAAGTTCTTAAAGGCACAACACAAGTTGTATGTGACAAAAAACTGATGACCTGATAATTACCCTGATAGGATCTTTTGGTTTCCTATAATAAAAGTTGGCACAATTATGCCAACGAATGAGACACACTTTTCTACTGAATCTTGCATTCCTTGTTTTTTTGGCATCACTACCTTTCTAATTTTAATTAAAGACGGCGGCCTTCTTTAATTAACCCTTCCCATCCCACAGAAACAGGAAAGTTTCGTTATTCCCCTCGCAGGACATGCGATGGGGGTGTGGCTCGCTTCTTCAGTGTCCCGCTGCTCAAACCTCTAGGGAAGCATCAGACGGGCAGGTTGCGGGGCTCCAACCCCATGGCAGTGTCTAGGGGTGAAAGTTTACAGCTCTTGAAGCCCCAGTGGGCGTGTGTTCGAGTGCTCTTTTAGTATAACCATCCGTAGTCGGCTTCCATTAGTCAGCTCAGTTAGACCCTCTACCTTCTCACAAGGACAGAGCGCTTTCTGTATCCCAGATTCTTGCCTTGGTGTATGAGAGGAATCAGATCAAACCTAGGCTCGGAGAATGAGTCCAAGGTTTTATTGAGTGGAAGTAGGTTTCAGCAGATGGGAGAGCCAGAAGGGAGATGGTTTTCCCCTGGATTCAGGGGATCAGCGGCCTGGGCTCTGCTCCTACTGTCCCAGCCAAATTCTGCATAGTTCTGCTTCTGCCGTTGTGGCCTGCAGATGGGCCAGTGCCTGTCAGTGTGTTCTTCTCCACGTCCAGCTGTCTTTGGGTCTGCCTGCTAGGGTCTTGGGGATTTTTATAGGCACAGGATGGGGGCGTGGCAGGCCAGAGTGGTCTTGGGAAATGCAGCAGTTGTTGGGCAGGAAATGCCTGTCCTCACCTAGGTCCATGGGGGTGGAGCCCTGGCCAGGGACCACGTCCTCCTCTACCCAGCACTTCCGTATCACCAATAGGGTATTTGATGCTATAACTCAATCCAGGGTGGAGTTTGTTTTTACCCCTTGTCTTTTCGCCTTTGGCGTTTTCCTTTTTCTGGTGGGTCTGCCTCTTTCTTTTCTTCTCAGGGGAGGTTGTGAAGTGCCATTAAAACATAAAAGTTTCTGATTAGTGAAGGACACAAGTGGCCTGCAAGAAGAAATACATTAATGAATATTTATTGTTCTTCCGCAAACACTTGGAAGGACATAGTGTGTTAGTTAAGTGCAAAGGCTCTGATTTAGTAACCGTGTGAACCTTCACAAGCCTCCTCATTTCTCTGTGCTTCAGTTTCTGCAATGTAGAGTGCAAACAGTAGCAGAACTAACCTTATAGCCTTATTGTGAAGATTTAAGTAAACAGCTCAAGTTAAGCACTTGGAAAGTGACTTGGTACGGAGTAAGCGCCAGTTATTACACTCGAGGAACATCCCAAAGTGCTCAGAGGTCAGACTTCTCAAGCTATGTTTTTTCTTTGTTTCTGGTCTGTGCTAAGACACTAGTTATTCATTCTACCTAGAATATACTTCCCACCTTCCCTCACTGACAGCCTGTCATCAGTCATCAAATGGGTCTCTCTGGAACCTTCCTTATGCTCCTGAGCTCCCCTAACACATGGTAATACACCTGACTAATACATAATTAATCACATCTTATTACTACCATTAATTTCTATATTTGTCTACTTTAAAAAAAAAAAAAACATGTAACACATATTGGGAATTCAATATATAGTTTAAATATCTGTAAGTTGCATCCAAATGCTAGCTCCCAATCGTTTCTTTCCACCACTCTGCTCATGCTGATCTGAAAATGTGTGAACACATGACAGTGCCCAGCCAGAAAGCACAGAGCTATCTGGGGCATGAGGAAGGCCTTTGAGCACAGAGCTGGGGGACGGCAAGTGGGAACTTGAGCCTCAGGAACAGAACTGAGCAATTCAGGAGGCTCCACAGAGTTTATCTTTTCAGTTTCAAAACTTAGTTTACTTACCTTCAAGAATGAATTTGTCATAACCTATTGGTTTTCTCCCCTGAGAAAGTGTGTGTGTGTGTGTGTGTGTGTGTGTGTGTGTGTGTGTTTCCCTAGGAAACAACCCTACCTGGAAAGGTTTCTGTGAATATCAGAAATAGTATAGGTAATTAGGCATTTAATAAATAGTAGATATTCTCATTGTTATTAGCCTAACCAAGTATATACAAATAGGCACCCTCTGGGCAAATTAACTTTTTGGAATTTAGCTAGTTAACTAAAGAACCTTTGGGAAATTGTAAGCTTAGGTTAGACCAAGGCATTTACATATATAAGTAAATAATATAAGAATATAAATTTTTTTAATAAATGAATGCTTTCATAATAAGAATATAATAATGGATAAGAAATGAATAACGAACAGGACCAGGAATTAAAAAGGCAAAAGAGAAGACAGATAGCAAAAACAAAGAGAGAAGCTAAAGCTTTTTTCCCTTGTGAAATGACAGGGCACAAAATAATGGTTTCAATAACTCCCTCTCTCTCTATCTCTTTCCCCTCCTTTTACTGGCTCCTAGCTAGTCTGGCTCTGGGGATGATCACAGAAGCCCTAGGACGTAAAGAACATAAACTGTGTGACCAACAATTTAGATTAATCAAATCAACACATATTTAAGGCAGTGTGGAGTCATGGAGAGAGCTCAGATCTGAGATCTGATTGCAACCCCAGCATTTATTGGTTCTGTCTCTGAGCAGATTAGCCTTTCTAAGCCTAAAACGGACATAACATCCATATCTGGAAAGGTTTCTGTGAATATTAGAAATAGTATATAGGTAAAGTGATTATGCATTTAATAAATAATAGATATTCTCATTGTTATTGGCCTGACCAAGTATATAAAGCAATGCAAATAAAACATGGTTCCTAACTTTGAGCAAGTGCATAGCAATAAACATGTGATGCATTAAATTTAAAAATATGACTAAAACACCTTAGGTAACTGTTTCCTGAAAATGCATCCGAAATTTTTCAAAAGCAAAAGAAGAGAAAAATTCTTTAAACTTTTTGGGGAAGGCGGCAAAATGCTTAAAACATATAAAAGTTTACAAAATTTGCCTCCTAAAACAAACACGCTATAATGACTTGGCATTTTATTAGAAAATAGATTTTTACCCAGATATTTCTCAGGCTAACTAAACATTATATCAGTGGTCACATGTCCACAGAAAACAGAATTGATACTGGCAGGAAAGGTGGGAAAAGGCATTCCAAAAGAATGGAGTGGTGTAACACAAAGGGACCCAGGTGTCTGAAATGATCCTGAGCTTTTAATCACATCCCCCACAGCTGCCCAGCCCCACTGGAAGAAACTCCTGACACCCTTGTTTATTCAGAGCTATGTTTTGGACATTTTTCCATTTTCCTATAACCTTGCACTAGGTCTAGAGGCCTATTACTGATCTCAGCTCTCAACTTCCTGCCACATTTCCCATCTACAGTCTCACACTCTGAGATCCAACATATAATGTTGTTTCCATGGTTCAGTCCCTTGGTTCCCTTCCTTGATAACAATTTTAAGTTGCCTCTTACATTGTATCTGTTTCTGGTCCCTCCAGAGAACTAAGCCTGATCCCATGAGACTATTGGTACTAGGGTTCATGTTGAATCCATGGTCCCTAATGAGAGAATGGAAAAAGACACAGAAAATACAAGATATTTGTAAATTAATTTGCCCAAAGCAGAGTATTTGGGAAGTTGAGTGGTTAAAAACACTGGCAAGATTTTTTGCGAAATTACAGAGTTCTTTCCACATTGCTGCTCTCATGAAATACTTTGTGTTTGCCAAATTATATTAGCTGAGAAGGCCCATGGCCCACCAAAGGCTAAGTGACAGCCTGAAGCTGTGGATCTGAGGTTATGCCAGGTCACTGAACTGCCTATGTAGCCAAAGTCAGCCTCCAGGGTGAAAAGGGCTTTCTGTTGTCTCCTTAAATAGGAGTACAAAAGTATTTATGACTACAGTCATGTTTCTGACAACAAACCCAATTATAAGCCAACATTAAGGAAGTGATTTAGTAATGCTTTTAGTGTGACTTGGTCAAACAGCAAATATGTATTGATCGCCTACTCTGTGCAAATCAACCCAATGGACTTATGTGGTTTAAACTCTCTATATATAACTCAATTTTGTTGATATTGTGCAATATATTTTTTGGTCTTACTACTGTTACTAATGAAAGAGTCAAAAGAGAATAAGCAAAGAGAAATAATGTTCATTTGCTCCTAAAGACTCATTTCTTTCATCTATCCCTAAGTACAAAACAGTTGGTTCTATGGTGTAAGTAGGTGGGACCCATCTAGGGAAAATGGTCCTGCCATTATTTTGAAAAAATAAATCTAAGTGTTTTATTTGCATGGGCTGATGACTCTCAAATTTATATTTCCAATTAAGATTAAACACAGAACTCCTCCTGCTTACTCTGTCTTTCTATCTAGATATCACAAAAACATCTCAACTCATTATACCAGCTTATATTTCTCCCTACAAACTGTGAACTGCTCTAGATTAGCATCAGCTGTGCAATCCGGAACAAAGGACTCATGCTTGACACCAGACCTTTACCTCTGCATTTGTTGGTTCACCACTACCTTCTAAAGAATTTCCATATCCCTCTTCCTCTTTCTTCCTCTCCCACTTCATTTTGGTTTAAGCCATTATCACCTCTCACCTGAGCTGCTACAATGCCCAAATCCTAGCTGATCTCCCTGCATTAACTCTTACCACCCTCTAATCTCTTCTCCACAGTACTGCCAGATTCATTTATGAAAAAACACAATCTGATTATGCCGCTCTTCTCCTTCTGAAAGTTCTTAATCATTTCCAGTCACTTTAAGATCTTTTTAAAATCATTTATTTTGCATTTTTACATGGACCTGCCTGAATCCCCTGCCTCATCTTGTGTCTTTCAATACTTCAAGCTTTATTCCACCTTACAACTTATATAATTACCGTTCCTTCAGGCTGGAAGACGTTTTTTCTTTCTGGTCTTCTGCTTTTATCCAGTTAACTCTCATTTATACTTCAAATTGCAGATCAAACATCCTTTTTAAGAAAATTTTTGGCCGGGCACAGTGGCTCACGCCTGTAATCCCAGCACTTTGGGAGGCCGAGGCGGGTGGATCACGAGGTCAAGAGATCGAGACCATCCTGGTCAACGCGGTGAAACCCCGTCTCTACTAAAACTACAAAAAAATCAGCTGGGCATGGTGGCGTGTGCCTGTAATCCCAGCTACTCAGGAGGCTGAGGCAGGAGAATTGCCTGAACACAGGAGGCAGAGGTTGCGGTGAGCCGAGATAGCGCCATTGCACTCCAGCCTGGGTAACAAGAGCGAAACTCCATCTCAAAAAAAAAAAAAAAAAGAAAATTTTTTTCTAACCCCCTAAACTAAGTCTGGATCCTCCGCCATGAACTTTCCTAATTCTCTGTTCTTTTCCTTCGTTAACTTTAACAAAGTTCATAATCACACATTTTTATGATTATCTTATTCCACAAAACTGTGTGTCCCAGCAGGGTAGAGATCTACCCTCTTGTTCATTAGCACAGCACAGCACACAAATGAACATCTATTAGGGGTGGGCAGGGTGAGCTGATCCAGACAAACATCTTAATAATAATAACAAGTGAACTGAAGATTATGTGGAATCAGTGCAGACCCTCAAAGTAATTCCTCTAATGTTTCTGCTTCCTCTTAGCATCTGCCACTACCTCATATGGAATTATTTACTTATTTTACTAGTTTAGTGTTTGTCTCCTCTATCAAGCTGATCTCAGATTTTTGAAACAGCATTCGAAGAAATGAGAAAATCATGAAAAAGAATCTTCAAAGTATGAAGGAAATCAAGTTTCGAACTAAAATTGTATTTCTAAGTAAACTATCATTTCAGAGGAAGGACAAAGTAAGTCTATTTTTAGACAACTCGTGATTGCTTACCACTCACAAACCCCTGTTGATAGAAGCTTTACTTCAGAAAATTGTACAACAATAGAAAAAAAATGGAATGCAAAGAGATTGTAAGCATTCATGGAAATCAAACCACACAATGACTGTATAAAGCATGAAGGATAACAGTGAGTAATTATGGGAGTGCTTTAATTGTCATTAAAACATTTAAACTTTCTTCTTTTGCTCAAGAGATATGTAGAAGTATTGATTAATTTTTTATTGTGTTAAGAAAATATAGATGTTAATAATTCTAAGCTGGGTGTGGTGGTATTCACCTGTTATCCCAGTACTCAGGAGGCTAAGGTGGGAGGATCCCTTGAGGCCAGGATTGCAAAGCTGCAGTGAGCTATGATCATAATATTTGATATGAAACAATTTTTAATATATTTTCAAAATTTAAAGATTTCTATTTTATATAAACTGTACTAGATAATAGAAAAAAGAAGAAATCCTTTGCAACTCATAAGACTAGCATAATTTTTCTATCAAAATAGGCCAAGAATAGTATAATAAAAGAAATTTATTTTAAACCTTGCCATATCTTTTATCTTAAATGTTTCTCTTGGAGACCGCCCCACCTAAATGGTGAGTTTGAGCCATTTACATTAATTAGAATTGCCACTATATTAGAACTACTTTCTACTTTTTACATAAATGATTAAAGTTTTCTCATGTGCTTATAATTATTTGTTTACAAGACTTTCTATCCGTCTCTAAAGTAAAATTTTCTTAAGGAAAGATATCAGCTCTAACAGTATGGCATACAATAGACAGTCTATGTTTGTAGAATAAATGAGCAAATGAATAAAATATTACGCTTATACTCAGAAATTCCCATCACTGATACGTTAACTCGTTTTTATAAATTCAGTTTAGCAAATAACTATTAAGTGCTTACTATTTGCCAGGCAATGTAGCATGTGTTATATTGGAATACAATTATGAGTTGAACATAATCTTCACTAATTAGATATCTATAATCTAATATAACTGATATATACACAAACATATAGATATGCACACAGAGAACTATTCTAAGTCAGGTAAAGTCCAAGGCATGAAAGCCTCTAGTGTCCCTTTGGACAAAATCAGTTGACACCTCTGAGCCTCCATTTCCCCATAAGAACTTTATAAAAATAAATTATATTATTTATATCAAGATAATAGTTTAAACCATATTTTATATTTATGTGCTTGTGTGAATTTTTATTATGGATTTGCTCAGTTGTTTGCAAATGTTTTATTCCTGGTCCTCTTCAAAGATGCCTATATGAGTAATAGAAATTGCCTTCTTTTATGCATGTATTTTATTTTTAAAATGTTGGTGCATGATATTAGGAAATTTTTTTCCTTTAAGGCATCATTTAGGCCCTAGATAGTTTAAATAATATGCTGTGGCCTATATAAATTTATTTAGAGAATCACTGAAGTGTTTTAATATCTTTTTATTTCTTGGTCTTTTCTTTCAGGACACTTGAAACACCTTAGGGTTCTTTACCATGTGTTCGAGCAATTAATTCTAATCTTACACCATATGGAAACCATTTCTACCAGTCAGCCTTGCCAAACCTATTCATGGAAGCCTATGTTGTTGCTATCTTTTCGTGCAACAGAAAGACACTCTGGCAAGATGAGCAGTGAGTCAGATATTTTACTTATCTTTAAACCTACACAGGAAAATCCCAGCCAGATAAACTGTGTCTGGCCCTAGAAGGGGTGAGTCCAGCTATGAAGCACACTTTAGAGATCAAATGTAGGCACTGAGAAATCCAAGCAAAATTGCCAGATTAGCTAAGGTCAAAACTGACCTCTGGTTGTTCCAGGAACATTTTTTTTTTTTTGCACTATTGTGCATTTGATTTATTTCTGGCAACAAAATACTAAGTGTTGAAACACTGCTGTTCTCGAGAGTCCATGGTATAGAGATCAGCCAGTATTTGTAGCAGAGTTCGTAGTCCTTCCCAAGAATCACTGGCTTTGAAACACATATCCCCAGAAATCCTCTACCTCTTGCTGCTGACCTTGTGAGAAAGATCATATGGCATCGTTATCTGAGGATGAGAACAAAGTACTGAAATGTATTCCAACAAATACAGCATAACTTCTCGGAAAACGAAAAATGATACAAAATTTTCTTCCTTTGAGCTATTTGGTAAATGTTCTGCAAACATATAAAGTTTTCAGAGACAAATCTTGGAATAGCTATACTCTTTTTCACAAATTAACTTTTTGTTTATTACTTATAGATAATACAGTCATATTTTTCCTTTTCAAACTAAAATTTGTGCTTAGTTTTAAGCAATCTGGCCTAGATAAGAGGCTTGTTTTGATGGACCACAAAAAAATGGAGAAAACAAAGAAATAAAACACTACTTAATAAATATTAGTTATTCCTATTACTGTAATGAAAAACATTTAATTCTATCCCTTGGCAATCTTTCAAATATTCTTGTTTTCATTTAACTTTTAATATTTATAACTTGTTTGGTGCTATAACCGGGGTCAGCTTCTTTACACAATTTTACATGGCATGCACAAGTCCACTCCAGTAAATCAACATGTGAAAACACAGATGCAAAGAAAAACATGCAAGGGGACACTTTATGTCCTTTATATCCAAACACAGTAAGGGAATTTTCTTATTTTGTCCTTCCAGAGGAATTCTTGCTATTCAAGTCATTTCACTAAGATTTTTCTTTAAAAAGAGTAAACTTTTACATGTATTTATGTCATAATTTAATTTTATGACAGTATCTGGAAACTTCTCAGGAATATTGCTATTTCATAAAAAGAATAATCATTTAATTTAGTAGTTGGATTGCTGCATAAGTCAAAGGTAACAAATAATAGTGAAATAGCATTTTTCTTTTATTTGACATATAATGTAGTTATTTAGTATTTCAAATTACAGCAATTTCGTGTCTTCACGAAAGGCAAAGATGTTTCAGTTAAAGTTCTTAGACTGCTGTAGTGGATTGTTAAAGGTAACTTCATCGCGCTTTTGTGCTCTCGAAACACTGCACTGGGTTGGCAGGATCAGCTCAGTTCAAGAAACACAAATGAGCACTTACTATGTGCCAGATGATGTGTAAGAAATAGAGAATACTAAGATGAAAAAGATATAATCTCTGACATCCCTTGTGGAGCTTAAAATTAGGTATTGAAATCCAGTAAGATCGATGAAAAAGTATCATGACTAGTATGAGAAAACTGGGGTATCTAACTGTAAATGCAATTCAGCAAGAGAATTCCTTGTTCTTTCAGCAAGAACTCTTTCTAGAGATGACAGTTTCCTAGACAATGAGTCGTAATCCTTTGGGTAAATGGGTATGGGGTGAGGAAGAAGAGGAGACATGAATAGCTGGGAGGAGTGTGTGCACAAGATGGGGCACAGAAATGCCTATAATTCAAAAAAAAAAAAAAAAAGCAAGCATGTACTAGTAAAGAGGTAAAAGTGCTAAGGCAGTTTTTGAAGGAAGGAAAAATAACACTTGGTTGAGAAGCTTAAGCAAGACATCATGTAGCAGGTGGTATTTGAGCTAAGCCTGAAAAGATACCCAATGTTCCTATGGACAGAGACAGGGAAGCAGAAAAAGAGGATACCATGAAATGAGCAAACGTGTGATAGCAAACAGTGAAGGATGTGTCAGGAACAAGTTTCTCAGTTTGGCTAGAGTACTGGTTACATGAAAGGAAATAGTGAACAAATTAATGGGAAAGACAACTAGACAGTAACAATGAACGAACACCTACTGCATCACATACACCTGCTGGGTATTTTACAAAGACTTTCCCATTAAATATTTACAACAATTTACAAAAGAATTATCACTCACTGTTACGGTGAAAATCATGACTTATTAAGGGTCCCATAATTAGACACTATCATAAGAAGAATAGCTACTTTCATGGAATGTTTACTATATGCCAGCACTGTGCCAGCCAGGTCCTCACATGAATTATCTCATTTAATCCTCACTACAATTCTATAACCGACTTTCGATTATCACCCACATTCTATTAGATGAAGAAAATGAGGATTTGAAAGACAGCAGAGATCATTCAGTGACAAATGGAGTGGGATTCACGTGTTCTTTTCCATTCTCTCATTTTGACACCAGAGAATTTAAGATGCCTGTGAGAAGGATGTCAGCTTAATTCAGTAAGCACTGAGAAGCTGTTGTGTGTTTTAATGAAAGATGAGTAGGAGCCAGAGGATAAGCTCAAGGAACTCACCGTCTGGTGGAGGAGCAAGACAAACAAGCGTTCATGTCGGACTCTCATCCTTCCTAATCCCACACCCCAGCCCATATCCATTCATCTGCCCTCCTATTGCTATCCCCAAACAGAGTAAGACCAAAAATTACATCTTGTTCCCTTCAACTTATTGTCTCTTCCTTTTTATTCTTTTCTTTTTCCTACTGGTTTATGGCTTACCAAATGACAAAGAACCCCAGTGAAAACTCCTTTCATCCTCTCAACAAAATAAATGCCTCTTTCAAAATTCCATAAATGGCATGAAAAAAATAATGTAGGATTATGAGAAAACAGGAAACACAAAGAATGATAGATTAGAAGAATTGGAGTCAGAGCAAAGTCCCCGAGATTCAGACAAGCTCTGGTTACAGGACCCCTTAAATAAACCCCAGCAGGTAGGGCTGAAATAGATTTCCACAGTCAGCGCAGCCAACATCTCGCTGCATTTTTTCCCATCACAATCTTATCAAGGAGAATCAGATGTGGAAACAATCTCTTATTCCACAGCCTGTTCACTTCTTAGCTTAATCAGCAAAAGTATTTCCTGTGCTGTGCTCTCTCTCATGTTAACCTGTAAATTTTTCCTTTGTGTCCTGTCTAAACTTCCTTTTCTGAATTTCATCCCATTTCCATGGTTTGCAAGGACTAGGCAATGAGACAAAGGAGAGGAGTTGCTGAGTTGCTGAACCCTTCCACAAGGAGGAGGGTTTTCTCGTACCGACCAAATCCTGGCTGAAAAGAATGACTTTCTTCTAAGGATTTCAAAGCACATCAGCATCCAACTCGAATGAATGAAGATATTTGACTACAACTGGGAAACAACAGCAGACCAGGCCTATTGGCAGCCAGTTATTTGAATGAAGCTTTTAAAAGGCATCTTGCTAGCGGTTTGTCAGCCGAGGGGGTGGACATCCAAATACCAATCAGCCCTAGAAGCACTTACAAAATTGCATTAAGAACAAAGTGTTCCTTCACACACTGAATTATATAATTTCTCTATCGTGTTTATTCGTTTTAAGGATGAAATAATTTAGAAGCACAAAATTATACAGGTCTCTTCCAACTCTTCTGTTTAAACAGGCAATTGCTCAGCAGTCACGCAGCCATTGGGTGGCAGTGTCAGAACTACACTGAGCTTCCGCCAGTTCCCCAGTTCCCACTGGACAAGGCCTTGCTGATTCAGTCCCTTCCACGTTTTGCATTCTCTCCTCTGCTTTGGTTTTCAGCAATCTGTTCCCTCACTACTGGGAAAAATGGAAGTAACACTAGACCAGTGTAGTTGAACCCATCTTTTGAAATAATATTGTGTGTGTGTGCGCTTCATGGCATTCCATGTAGGCCATTAAGCTAGGAGCTCTGCAGGTATCGCCTTATTTAATTCATCTAACAGTCCTCTGAGTTAGAGTCCTCTAACATTTAGTGAGCACCTCCTATGTTACAGACACTTATAAGCCGTACCTGTGTCACTGAGGCTCAGGAGTTTAAACAGCATGTCAAATGCTACACAAAGAATAAGCAGCAGAGGCCAGGCACAGTGGCTCATGCCTGTAATCCCAGTACTTTCAGAGGCCAAGGCACACAGATCATTTGAGGCCAGGAGCTCAAGACCAGCCTGGCCAACATGGTGAAACTCTGTCTCTACTAAAAATACAAAAAATTAGCCAGGCAGGGTGCCATGTACCTGTAGTCCCAGCTACTCAGGAGGCTGAAGCAGAATAGCCTGAACCCAGGAGGTAGAGGTTGCAGTCAGCCAAGAATGTGCCACTGCCCTCCAGCCTGGGTGATAGAGCAAGACTCCATCTCAAAAGAAAAAACAAAAGGAATAAGCAGCAGAGATAGAAGTCAAATCCAGCTTTGTTATCCTGAAAACTACATCCTTTGGCCAGCTTCTACAGAGCCTGTCTTCAGAGTCCTGTCAAGGTTATGTGATGATTGTTTGTTGAGTAGCTACCAAAAGTATGGAGAGAATACCTAGATGAAGTGAAGCTGGGGAATGCTCACTCCCCTCCGCCATCTGCTTTTTGTTTTTGTTATTGTTTTGAGAGAACAACAGAACAGATGAAATGGATACAGGCTGGAATATGAAGAAACGTGTTAGATTTGACTCATACAGCTACCAGATATTCCTCTAGTTAATTTATTACCTAAACTTAATATCGCCCTAAGAAAGATTTAATTCTCCACTTCAAGGAAGTACCCTTAGGTTAGACATGGGGTCCATTCAGATACATACCTCTGACTGAAGGATTTCAAAGAGGATTTCATTTCTCATGTCAACTTTAAAAATTATCATCGACTATTTTTAACTTCATTTGGTAACTAATGTTATATTTACTTAATTTTTTAAAATTATTCTCTGTTGTTTAAAGCATTATTTCTATCTTCCCTAAAACTTCTTATAACTCATTCCAGTGCTATCAACTTATCAGGTACCATGATTTGGTGGATTAAGCTGCCGTCCTCTCTACTGCTGCACGTCTTCGCTAGTGATAAACATAATCCCACGCTGCTTCCATCTCACTTCTAGAGATATCATGTCATTGTTCTCATACCCCCTCTCCTCACCAGTCCTACCTTTAGGATCCTGTTTCTACCAGTCACCAATATCCCCTGCAATTCCTGCAAGTTACGTGGCTCCATTTCTTAGGGTTGTAAATGTCATGAATATAAAAAGGAGTATTTTTATTCTGGTGATTTGGAATAATGAATAAGGAGATTATGAGTATAGGACAGACTGTGGGATGACAGTAGGATAGATAAAAAAGGGGCTTTCCTTTCCAGCTGAGACCATGGTACTGAAGGAGAAATTCTTGGACTCTGTCTTCATCATACCTCATCTGGAAAAGGCAGCCGAAGACATCTTCATCTTTAGTAGAGACAGAAGACGTAGAACCTGCTCTCTATTTTGCTTTGAGTTGGTGGAGCATTTTATAAATTAAGCTGAGATTTCCACTTTTCTGGGGGGTCCAAGTAACTGTAGAAATTGGCCTTGTGGGCACTGGGAGACGACATTCTTAATATGTCAAATACACAAACCAGAGTGAGTGTCAGATGATAGTCAGCAAACATCGGCTTCATAGGCTGGGTGAGACTTGATGACTCCTGAAGGAAGCCAAAAGGTTTGGGGAAGTACCATATTTGACTTGGAGCTTGTTTGAGCAGACATTTAGTGTGCAGTGCATTGGAGAGGGAAATAGGGGACTTAGGGTCTAATACTAAATCTATCCCTCTCTCCGTTTTTATAAGTCATTTAACTTTCTGGGTTTAAGTGTATATAGACCTTTAATTTGTATTGCACTATTTTAAAGGATACTGAAAAAATATCATTTTAAATGTGTATATCTTAATTTTGTGGAATTTTGTCTCTAGCGATGAAACTGGAAACTCAAGGAGCCCTGTAGACATAATCACAACATTTAAGCAGGTGTCAAAACCTGAAGGGATCTTCCATGGTCATATCATATTAAAAACATATGATTTGACCTCAAACAGTCCTGTGTTCCAATCCTGTCTTTGCCAGTTGGTATGTGACCTTGGATAAGCTATTTTACCTCTTTGGGCTTCTATTTTCTTATATATGTGATGTGGGTAATTATACTCAACTTATAGAATTATTATAAGAAGTAAATAACACAACAAATAAAAAGTGATTATCAGAGCATCTAACACATAGCAAGCATTGATATATGATGATAGTACTTGGATAGATGTATAATTTTTATTTGATATTTACTATCTTATTTAAAAATTGAAGTTTTTCATAAGAAGGAAATGGTGGAGGAGATAATCAGCAAGGAGGAAAAGAAAAATCCCAGCCATTCCCAGCCAACAGCTCTCCACCTCTGAGACTTCTCCACCTTAATTTTACTTAATAATCAGGCATCTCCAACTTTCCCTGGAAGTTTCAGCCCATGAGTCCCCAGATGCTCCTCCCATGCCTGAGTTTGACAAACATTTATTCTCACTTAGTTCAACTAAGTCAAATTAAGGAAAGGAAAGAAAGATTCTGTGCCTAGGAAGTTATGTCAGTTAAGAAATCTGACACAGACTCTGCTCAAGGGGCTTCCCTTTAAAAAGCATGACTCCGTCCCATGACATTGGCTGCATCATGGGTCCCATGACATCTGGCTTCCATTTCATTGTCCTTTGATGTCCTAGAAAGTGATTTCTGTTCTTGTCTTCAGGGCTGATTCTTCCTAACTCTTTTTTCATTTGCGTTTTTCCTTTACTGGCAAGAGTAAGGGCTTTAGTGCTGCCAGTTTTTAAAAAAATCATAAAATCAAAATTTGGTAAATAAAGCTGAATTTCATGGAACAGCAGAAAAAGAAAAAGAAATCTGACTGGAGCTGGGAAAATTCTTCCCAAGAGACAAAATGCCTGGCCATCTGAAAAAGAGTTAGTTAAAGGATAAGCAAGGACAGAAAGAGAAGGAGGTAGAATTGGTAGGGAAATATATCACTCTTACTACCTCTGTGCCATTATTTTAGTCACAGAAATACCATGTGAAGGGGGTAACTCTTTTGGTATATTCTCTGGCAAAATATATCTGAAAAGCTTCTCTCCACAATATTTCCCAGAAGCTCTGCCAATGTTCTGTGCTGCATTCCCTCTCTAAATTCAGAATTATCTGAGCTGGTCATTAGCACCTTTCTTGATGCTTTGGAAACAGAGATAGATACTCCTGAGTGCTCATAAGAAAGGTCAGCCCAATGAGAAAGCTCATTACTTGGTCTTCTTTAAGGCCAGTTGGCTGCCTAACAACTATTTTTTTTATTTATTTTACTTTAGGTGCATACTATATCTGGCATTTCTCCCCATGTTATCCCTCCCCATCCTCCTCTCCCTTCCCACCCACCGCTGTTTCTCCCCTACCCCCGCCAACTGCCCCCGGTGTGTGATGCTCCTCTCCGTGAGTCCATGCGTTCTCATTGTTCAACACCCACCTATACGTGAGAACATGCAGTGTTTGGCTTTCTGTTCTTGTGTCAGTTTGCTGAGAATGATGGTTTCCAGATTCATCTAAGTCCATACAAAGGACACAAACTCATCATTTTTTATA